GGAGAAAAGATTTCAAGCTAATAGATCAGTGTGGACCGGGTGAGATAAAATTAATCAATTAGAATCGAATAAATGCGAAAAAAGTGACACGAAATTTTGACCAAAGACTTGGAGAAGATGAATACACAAAATATGAATTGCATCCTAAGAAACCATGAAAACATGAACAGCACAAGACTGAATAGCATAGATTCTTCGCCTTGTTTTTTCCTTTCAGTCTGTCCTGGAAATGACCACTTAGTATTAAATCTCCCCACCTATTAAATACCACTTTGATTCCGCATCAAACAATACACTTGAGAAAATAAATAAATATCACTTCATCACATTTCTGATTAAGTGATTTTCTTCATGACATATCTTACGGAACCACTATATTTCCATGAAATCGAATAACTACGAAGCCACTGATAGATGATTGTTTCTACTAGATTTCTGGCCACAAAGGTATTATCCTTTCTACTTCCAATACAGGAGCTAATAAGTCATCCATGTGTCAAAGAGACTGCTGAATTTTCTCAAATATAATTAGCAGTGAACTTATGATGATCTAAATACTGTGGCTAAATAAATTATCAGTAATCTCTACATAATTTTTAACAAACATATAAAAGCATTGTTATGTAATCCCCACTTTGTATTTTACTAATAATCCTAATATACTTACTTTAATTCGAACCAAAATTTTGCTAACAGTGTAGAATTCTCAGCATGTGATATTATATAAGTTTAGTCGTTGTACAACATTTATTTTGCAATTGTATATTAACAGTGGTGCTGTTTATCAACACACAATGAAGACTGATAAGGTCGTTGAAATGTTTAGTGGCTTCAGGCTCATGATAACTGTTCGCTGTTGCAAAGTTGATTGAAAAGACTGTGTCTAACATGATTTTATTCACTCAGTACACAAGCTGAATAAGGTGGCATGATTGAATTTTTCTATGTAGTTATGCATGCATGAAGTTAAAAATATTCGCTTGTTGTCCTGCCAGAGGACAGACATTGAGAGAGGTGTGGATGCAAAGGATGCTTGTCATCGGGTTAAATATTTGTAGCCAGCTGTCAACCAGAGTTCAGATGCCTATCCATAACCACATCTATCAGAACGGTTAGTAGTGGTGTACCACGTACTTCAGTAACAGCCTTGAAAATCTTACGGAATGTGACGTAGTCTTTCTTCCGGAGTCGAGGAAAGAATGAGGGGGAACAATGAGAAAGTATAGCCAAAACACAGAAATTAATAAAGCGTAAGAGTGGAGTCTGAGTTATGCCAGACGGTCTGAGTTTCCGTATGTATGATGTTAAGCGAAGGATTTTCCTTGACATCAGTAAGATATGAAGGGAAGGAGATAGATTAGAAGAGAAGTACAAGCCAAATGTATGACGCTTGACACATTCTTCATAGTAGAGCCTCCTATAACACGACAATCATGAAACTGAATGAATTTATGTGGGTCTTATTCACGTCCTAGGCTAAAAATAACCATCTGACTCGTGAATGAATTGAGTGTGTGGCTACTTAGGGGCGACTAGTGACCGATTTCGGCTAAGAAGTTAATAAACTGAGAACCATAAGGAGAGGAGATGACTGGTGCGGATACGGTAGATTATCTGCGTACTAAACAACGTTAGCTTTATTTGAGGTGGGTAGGATATGGAGAAAGAGAAAAGAAATGAAAAATACCTTGAGGGACACACATTCACTGGATAACGAAGTAGAATGTTTCTCTCCGATTGGTTTGTCTATTGGACATTCTGAACTTATCGTCTGCCTGAAACACTTCAAATATGTTACGCATTTATTTATTTTAACCTCGCCTCGGTGACTAGTTCACTAGTTAATAGACGGTCCTAAGCTCAGGTAGAGAGAGAAGGTTGGGCAAACCGCTAGCAACCCTACATCGGAAAACCAATCCAATCCAAAAAAAACTTCAAAGCAAAATGAAAATATAAAGAATAAAATTAAACTTATTCCTTGCTGAAATTGAGCAAAAGAAATGACGTCGGTTGGTGAAAGTCTTTGGAAAGCCAATTGGCCGATGTGTCTTCTCTCACTCGATGAAAGCAAAATTAAACATAGATACATGGAATGTCCACATAATGTTTGAAGCTGACTCACAAGGCTGCCCAGATTGCAAAAGAGATGAGAAAATATAGCATAGAAATGTAGGCTAGGAATCTGTGAAGAATCTGCAGATGGAATGGAAGTGGACTTTGCACACTGTCAACTGCAGAGAGGAGTCAATAATCTACTCCGATATTGTCACACGGATGACACGACAACCACGAGCACACCGAGTTTTCCAGTGGCTATCATGATGTCCCCAACAGCATCAAAAGCTCTCGTGCAGTGAGAACCAATCTCCTCCTGCAGGATCAGGATCATGACAGCTAGATTCAACTCAAAAGGAAGGAAGGAAGGCAGGTCACAATCACACAATGCTACTCTACGCTACGCATCTACAAATAATGCAGATGAGGAAGAGAAGAAGGAGGAATTCTACAGACAACTGCAATCACTACTGGATGAGACCCCACCACAGATTGGGACATCAAAATTTTATTGCGTGTGGTGACATGAATGCCAAACTGGGAGCAGACAACACAGGAAGAGAAGTAACCATGGGTTGAGAAGCACTCAGTGAAATGATGAATGAGAACGGAGAACTGTTTTCAGACTTCTGCACATTCAACGATTTGGTGATTGGAGTCAGCGTGTACATGCACAAGGATATTCACAAAGTGACATGCATTTCAACAGACACCAGGACACACTACACTACACTAAACGCCAAATCGACTTCATTTCATTATGAAGAAAGTGGAGATGCAGCCTATTAGACACAAGATGAAGAAGGGGAGCAGATGTAGTTGGTTCACACCACTGACCATCTAGTGCAATCAACCTGTCTTCAAATTCAAGTTGAAATGCCCCAATTCAAAGAAGCTGGTGATAGACGACAGTTGAATTTCAACTACCACCCAGAACAGAAACTGATCTAAAGGAGGAAACTAGAAAGGACATCTCCACGTAAGACAGTCAGTCATCAAGTCGGAATGGAAGACATTATGCCATATTCCTGGAGAAACCTGCGTGGAAGAACACTGGAAGAAAACTCTTTGAAAGAGACGTGGAATGAAACCCACATAACTTTTTCAGGAAGGAGGAAGAAGAAACAAGAGAAGGAATGGATCTCGACGGACACATGGAAGCTGATAACGGAGAGGAGGATGATGAAGCCGAAGTTAGACCACTACAGGCATGAACAACGAAGATAGAAAGCGAACACAACCTATAAGACACTACACTGGACAAAGAAGTGAAGAAGAGTGCATGGAAAGATGTAAGATACTTCTACGGCACACTTGCAAGTGAATCAGAACAAGTTGCAGGTAGGATAGGCAGAGATTTGACAACATTATTTCAAATAACCAGGTTACTATTTGAAAGGGAAGAGATCAAGACAGATAAAATCGATGAAAGATGGTGAAGGAAACGTATTTAGCAAAGAGGAGAAACAAAGAAAACAATGGGCTGACCACTTCAAAAAACTCTTGAATCGACCAACAAACTACAGATATACATCAACAGCTACCGCCTACACTCACTCGACACTGACAATGAAAATCAGATCAGAAGGCCAGAAAGAATAAGCAACGAGGAACTCACTCTGGTTGGCTGTCAACGAACCAACCATCAACCCATTGCCCAACAAATATGCAGAAGAAAGGGGAGATGGACTGGATTGGATAAACACTGAGAAGACCGTTTGCAGACATCATGAGCCAGGCTAGGCCTTCGAGTGGAAGCTGAATGGGAAACGACGAATCGTGTGTCCGAGGTTGATATGAAGAGCGTGTGAGAAAGAAATGAAATCATCTGGGCAGCTGTGGAGGCAGCTTAAGAGAACTGCACAGAACGGAGTGAAATGGCGACATGTTACTGAAGCCCTATTTCCCACTAGGAACCGAAGCGATCAATTATAAAAAAATAATAATGAAGGACAATCGACAGATATCTTGAATTCACTATGAAGAAACAGATCAATCTAAAACTTGGAACTCAGCAAGTGAATGGATTAGTTTTCAAATGCGTCAAACCATATTAGTCAGTTTGGACTCAATGATCAAAAGATCAACAGTTAGATTAAATGAAGCAGCATGCTTCCAATAATTAAACTGAATAAAATACAGTAGTCATAGTTAGGCTTTATTCAGACACATACGTCTTAGATGGGTTATTAAAGAGTTGGTTACAAGATCTTGTAGTCCAACCCTACATTGTTTGTTTAGTTTGGGGACACTTTATTAGAGCACGTTAAATGTAATCAACTATTATTACTCTGCACTGCTAAGAATAATGACAAATTCTATATGGAATAATACTAACTATCCAACTGAGAATTAACAAACTATGACTGCTGAATGCAGGAGAAAGTTTAGTATTAGTATCCTATTCCTAATGTTCACAGTTTGTTACTCTAGCAGCAATCAGAAATTCTATTCGAATATCCATTGCAAATCTTGATTATTGCATTTTACACCCGGTTTCTCAGTATCTGATAGAAATGATACTCTTATTGAAACAACTTTTTCCAATTTGTTTCATCTGAAAGTTACAAGTTTAACACGGTATAACCTGCCTAGGTAGGATAGTAAAAATTTAAGAAGTACATGTATACTACTATTACTATTTGTGGAAATATACAACAAATTTTTTCCGAACATAACTATTTTACAGACACATAAATAAGAAGAAAATAGAAGAAAAAAACTTATTAACCAATGTTATACAAAAGGTCATCTTTGTTTTTTAGGCAAGTCAGACGAGGAACAAATTTTGATTGGGACAAAAAGCATATCTGTTTGCACATAACATGAAACATATTCAGATACAGTACCAAGAAGACTTGATGAAGAAAATATCCAGGTGATACTACCACTTTCTTCGTATTAAGAGGTGAGTTCCGTCTCAGGTTATTTTTCATCTATCATACAGCTGTTGGAGCTACTTGACCGCCTAAATAATCTGCTTTTCTCTTTCTTTACCACTTTAGTGATTAATTCAAGTGAATATGGTTAACCATAAACTAATTTCAGCTGCCTGTATTGTACTTTTACTAACTATAACTAATGCTGTACACCTGCCATCGAGTAAAGAATTTACTTGCAATAAAACAGAAAAAGACACTCTCAATCCAAATGAAACCATTGTTATAAAAACAATAACCAGTGTTCCATTGTTGCGTTTAGCTGACTATCTATGTAATCAGTCAGAGACAAAGGAGATGAAAGTTAAAAACTTTTCAATACCATCCGACTACCTCTATACTCACATATATTTTGCATGGAAAGAAGCTGATCAGTATATGTCTTCTGTAAGTGAAGAATATTATTCGAATAAACTTAAATTACGCTCTGATTTATTATTTTCATTCCCGTATTATACTGTGACAACAATACCTGTCGGCAATTAGATGCATGACTTGGTAAAAAAAATGATTTTAAAATGATCATTCAACAAGATTTTGATCATCACGCATCAATCTAAGATATTCATAACTGTTCTTCAGACTTGAAGTTATATACCTCAGGATTAAAAATTGACCTGTTATAGTTGAGTAAATTGAGCATTGAATAAGTGGATTATAAGTGAAATATATTTCTAAAATCCCGATTTTTCTACCTCACTGGGATTTTAAATATATCTCATTAGTAAAGCTATGAAGTTATGTGGTAAGCGATTTAGCTATCTACTTCTTAACGCCGATCGAACTCTACAATGAAGGTAAATAAAGCAGTTATCAAAAAGGTATTACTTTTTCTCTCCATTCAACTAAAAGGTTTCCACTTATCTCACGGTTTCAAATTCCGAAATTATTGTTGTAAAAGTTTATCAATTAGGGAAAATGTTAGATGATTATACTGGATGATGATTGAAGGTGAAATGAAAATTTGAACCCGGTCGGATTCAAACTAGCAACCATTGGGTTTCCAGCCTGATGCTCTACCCACTTAGCTACAACGTCCGACTGCTGACCAGATTTTTATTTCACTTCAATGATCAAGGGTTTTGCCCAACTACTACGTGAATTCGTGACGCTTTACTACCACTTGATCGTATTCATACTGGCTGATTACTAGTTGCTCTGCCAAAATATAATTTCTAAACATGTAGTAACAAAATATTTACTGATAAGTTTTTTGGGGAAACCAAGTAGTCCTAAATCCTTCGTCTTCAGATTCACCTGTGACTTACAGATGCACAACTATCTTTCAACGTAGCAGAGTGTTGATGCAAAGAAATTTGTTGACCTCATAAACCATGGGATTATGAAGATTTTTAGAGGGATAGTTATACAATATACATACAGATTGGAATGTTACCGTCTGTTATTTGCCTACTGAATGTCTTTTCTCTACGCAGCTTCGCAAGTTCATAAATCAATGTTTTTGACAACCAAAACAAACGTAATAATCCTTTCGATGGTTTTACTGAAATGAGTATACCATGATATAGGTTTACTTTCAGTTTTGATCAATAAACTACATCATTTTACTTAAAATATAAATATATTTTGAACTACGCCATATTTTTAACATCACTGGAGATGATCTACAATTATTCGTGTACTGTCGGCTGCTAGTAAGTGTTCTTTTCTTCAAAATAATCTGGATTGTAATTCATAGCCGAACTTGAATTCCATGAAATTTTCAAAACTTTATGAACGTCTTCGCAGTTCAATGGTGCTCGAAACTATCAAATCTTGAAAAGATGTCTTACTTTTTAATGCCACGGTTCATTTTGACAGATAGATTTTGAGACACATTTAACTTTATTCGTACTAAATTCAGAAATTCTAACTTACAATGAAGAAGAGTATATACAAGTTCAACATAACATGTTGCCCCCTGTATGTCCAAAGCTAGTTAGAAGTCATTCATCCAACATATGTACCCATAGACACTGCCTAGTCATGTGTACCTTTCAACTTGGAACAGATTTTCCCGCAGGGGAAATGCTATGCAGTCCAACTCCACATATCATCAGCTTTTTGTAGATAAGTGACACCATTTTTAACTCCAGGTAATTAAAGGTATGTTTCAAACTCCAATGATAGCAATAAATTCGTCAATCAAGGCGTTTATCGATAACCTTCAAAAGTATAACATTAAGAAAAATGCAACTTCAAATTAAAACATCACTTCCAGTTGCTTTTTGAAAGACGATGTTCGATCAGCACCTGTGTTTTTCACAGTGATGGTAATTGTCTCACTAAAAAGTCGTATAAAATCGTAAGTACTGACCACAGGTTGACGTCGCCTGTAGAACCAAGGATAATGTGGTAGCAGTGAACGGCTTTTTTCTTCTGGTATCAGACTCCGTAGTAATGTACACCCACGACACCGTGAGGTATTGAACTGGAGGTCATTAGAACTCACAATGAGCACACTAACACATAGCCACTGGGTCCAAAGTCAACGGTTCACATTTTCCTGATTCTACCACCTCATTACACAGCATGACCACCAGAGGAGTCGGGGAAGGGGTAGGAATAAAGAAGAATCTGATACTAAGAAGAAGTGTCTGTTGAGTGCTTTAAGGTTTTCAATATTTCCCAAGATTGGATAAGTCCGTGGTGAATACTTACTTGGAATCAATCAATACGCACAGACTGCCGGTTAAAAATGTATTTCATTAAATTTTCATTGAAATCCATCAGTCCACAAATACACTTTAATCTTTAAATAAACTTATAACAACTAGTACTCATATCTATAATAGGCGGATAATTTAATTCGTACAGTGAAAAAACTAAAGAGGAAATTTTTTTTGATACCAGATCACTGTCTAATCTCAAGTGTGAAAAATAAGAAGGGTAACAAGGAATAGGTACAATAAAATACGGTTTACTAAGCATTAAAATACCCTCTAAAACAGTGTAGAAAGTGTGCTGACATCAACCTAGATAACACCAACTTTGCTATCTGTTCATGAATGGCTACCTAGCACTAATCATAACCCTGGGATCTGAGTACCAAAAGGCAATGTGATGAATGCCAAAACTATATCATATAATAAACACTGAGTACTTTCAAATAAATATTATTACTTACTCATAAAAATGCTAACTGAGATTATCAAACAAAACTCATTAATAAGGGAATCGAAAACTCAATAATCAAGTATTCCTTAACTGATATTGTGCTTGATCCTACCAAAACCAAAATATTTAAAATGCTCATTATTCAACAACTTCAGCATTTACTTAAAAACAAATTTCAAAATGAATTTAATCTGTAACTAAACAACGTTGAGGTTTTCATAATGTTATTTGATCACATATGTCCTAAGAGTACTTTTTAACCTAAATAGTGGAAACGATGTTCTGGTTAAAATATCGAATACCAGGATCAATGAATTAAAAATCTTCACTTTATTTCAATCATATAAATGTCTGCAAACATTATTTTGCTTGCATTAAAAGGTTGCCTTAAAAAATGATGGACAAACTGATGAAATTGTCGGTGCAAATCTGGTGCTTCCAATTGGCATTTTGAAAGATATGTATGCACCTGGGAAAATCGGAATTATATTAGACTTTGCAATGGAATGCTATGCATGGGCTAAACCGCAAAACGTTAGAAATTACTCCAGTCCCAATGCGTATGTTTCAATTCTGAGAGGAGCTGACAATGTAAATGTTAACCAAAAGCTTATAAGAGAAACTACAAAATACTTTCATATTTCTGCGCAACCAGAGACATATCATTTTGTTTGGGAGAATTCTTCACCAGAAGTAAGTTTCTTGTTGTTTTAAAGTGAAACTTCATTTCTTTTTTAACAATCCTGTTTTTGTTTGAAGTCCTACATTGTTTTGAAATGACGTTTTACGAAATATAAAACACACAATGATCTGTGAATTAGACCAAAATAATGTAAATTCCAGATATAAACCTCAAATCAGAGGGTGAAAATTCTCTGAAGCAAACTATATTGCATAGAAAATAATGATAACCTTCGTTGTGTACTGGTTTTAAATGAATAAAGACCTATACCTATTATGGCTGACTGACTTCATATGGATAAAAGGTATCTGGCCGATCACCATCAGAACGATTAGTTGGATGATGTGATCACGTTGATTGACTAACTTATGTAAACAAGAATTCTGGTAACCATCTAGTCATTGCGTGCATTTAGGTTACCTAAGACGTTCTAATTATTTTCAATGGCAAATAAAAGTTTAAGACAAAAAGAAATGAAACCAAATTATTTTCAGTTTTGATGTTATAGCTTGTAAATCTGTGTCATCGAATGGACGGAATTGATCGACAGCTATTGTTATATCAGCTGCCGTACGAATACCTTGACATTACCAGTATTTTCAGTCTTTATAGTAATGATGGATATTGGATAGGAATGGAATCCAGAACACGTGTTCCGTCCTATTTGGCACTTGTGAGCTGGATGAACTTGCCTCCCACTGAATGTTGTTCCCATCAAGCCTCGGACCCAGAACCAGTTGCTTCAGCTTGACCTAATCAGCTACAGAAATTCATCATCTATAGTACCAAAATCAAAATGTCTCCGTGAAACAAGGTGTAGTCAATGTGACTCATTGGCGTTTGGAGCGACAGGTCCTGAGGTCGAGTCCTAGTCGGGGTAGCACCACTCACCTGGGGTCAAGTACATCCAGGCTAAGGAGTCTCAAGTAGGAAGGAAAGCACGTTAAGGATTCCACTGCTAGGTGCTATCCACCAGTAATACTAGAAGTTACTCCCAGTTGAAATTATACGATTGTCAGAAACTAACATTTAGTTCAAAAAGTCGTTGCTATCATGAATTCAAATTTAGTGCATTGCGATAATAATTAAATATATAAGTGGAATAGAAATACTGAGTCAAATATGAATGGTTACAGAAAAGTATATCCCACTTCAAGTGATGCTTTCCTACCTCTGATAAACTTGATTTTGTATTCGTCAAACTTAATATACTTGAATTAACCTCAGAAACAGCTAATAAAAGAGTACACTAACCAACAATTCTTGTAGAACAGTACTAGAGTTAAAAAAGAAGATAGATAAGTATACCACAAACAGAAAAGTCAACTCTTGGAGTAACAGGATATAGTTGCATTATTACAATAGTTCCTGACTGAAAGACATCATGAAAATTACTCATGTAGATCAAATTCTAAAGCAAATATGTAAGTAGTTGTCAACTTCAACCTTAAAAATTAAATCATGTAGATCCAATAAATGATAACACCTGTTGTAAATAATTCTCCTGATGGTATTTCCGTATGAATCAAAAACTTTCAAATAGTAGGGAATATCTATAACTCAAACTATAACTATTCATACAGAATTATACTTTAAGACAGAGTTATTTTAACTACAGCGTTTAGTGGAATTTTAGTCATTGTCAGTTAGAACAAAAACAGTGATGCCTTCAACTTTGGGTTATAGTTTTAAGTGGCATACGTTTCAGGATCATGTTAGATATCATCATTACCAGTTCATAGTAGCTTCACAGGGAAGCCTAAGTGAAGCTCAGGGGATAACTTAATCTAAGCTACAAAATATTCTTCGCAACTGATCATAATTTCTTACTCCTTTCACTTTCTTGAATGGTTTCAAACTCCAAATTGGTCAAACTTTTCAGTTATAAATTTCGAATATTGACAAATTGTGCTGAAAAATTGTTGCATTCTTTATGTCAATTAATTATTATAATTTGCTTTCGTATGAAAAATTAGTTCTGTCACCTTCAGTGTATATCTTGATAGAGTTCAGTTTTACAGTACTAACAATACTGGTGCATTAGTTGTATCTTCAGCGACTGTACGTACATAAAAAAATCCTGTACTTCTGAAGATGTTTTGTTAGTCTGAATTTTTCAAATGTAACTAATTCGCTTTTAGTGATAAGTGAATTACATCCACCAGCAGAATTTATATTGCTTAAAAAAATTCTCCGACTAGAGTTAACACATATTTTTTCTTTCTTCGTTTTCTTCAAGGAGCTAAATTTTATCAGTTTATATAAAATTTCCAACTTGATGTATACATCAGTAGGTAAATGCTTGAATATCTTGCCTACAAAGTTTCTTTTAAGCATCTTGAGTTCAGCTTTGATACTGTAATTCATTGGTTTAAACAGATGACTTCTAACCAATGCGTCATGGGTTTGAATACCGATGTATCTACCCAGGCTTTCTCCTACAGATGGTATCATCAGCGTCCACTCAATAGGTGTGGCTCACTACCTACTGTATGGACATCTACAAGTTTTGTTGAGTGCCTTTCAAATAAATCAAACACTTATGAATTCAAATGAAGATATAAGCAGAAAGCAGCTAATAAATTTAAATATTCAAATGGTTGGAACTTTTCATTGTCATAAAGTTATTCAAAAGTATGGTCGAAATCATCTTTAAGGTTCAACATACGACTAAAATAGAACCTAACTGGTCGATAAATGAGAGTTTTATCAGTTTTCAATCATGAATTTAAATGTGAAAACCAGGTATTTTTTGTGCATAAGATCTCCTGTTTTTAATTAACCTATTAGCAGGTTACCAGTATACAAAACTAGTAAAATGAGAACATGATGAACTAAGTTAAATAAGATCTACTTTAAGATCATTAAAGTCAATATATTTTGGGAAACTGGATCACCCAATTGTGCACAAATTTTTGCTTGACATTTTCACGCTAATACAAATTAGAATCCACTATGATATAAATACCATTAGTGTGATTTAGTACTTTAGTTGTACAGTAAAAAGTTTTTCTCCACCATCGCCACTGATTGAAACGAATTGTCAAAATAAGTGTTTTATTTTTTGCGTAACTTATTCATGAACGCCACCGTACTTACTGCGGTGTGCATCTGAATGTGCACAAGCACAATGATTGCTTAAAATCATTAAATGAGTAGCTTCTCATAGACTAAACAGTGAATAGGAGTTGTGATTTATTAATGTAGACAGTTGAATTTCACCTAGTGGGTCGCGGGATTGAACCTTTCTCCACCTACCAAGGTTTGAACAGTAAGTTAGCCTGTATCATCAACACTCACACAGTGTATGCGTCTCGTTGCCCACTGAATGGATGTGCACAAATTTATTGAGTACATTTCAGCCTAAAACATGTAAGTTTATGAAGAACTAGCAGCAGTTTTGAATTCACGAACTTCTAAGGTGATAAACGTTTCTATTTCTAGCGTTGAATGCATTTAGTCTGACTGCTGAAATCATAGCTGCGACTGGATAAAAGATGCACAGTTTATGATTCATCAAAACTAAATCAGATGAAATAATTGTAAGTTTCATAATAATTAAAATATCATACAAAAGGATTGTACATCATAACAATATTCTCTCATTTCACATACTATAGACTATCAGTATAAAATCCTGTTCAGTGGTTTGAACATATTACTACAGATCTATAAATCTCGATCGCTTCCTCATAAACACAAATGAAAGAGCAGTGTCGGCTCCCACAAACTATAAATACCCTTTTAGATTTGCATATATATATTAAGATGACAAATCTTACCGATGACTCAGATTTTCAGCGAAGAAAATTTTCTTCTTCGACAACGTCATTTTCTATAGCTGTACAATCGTATTTATATATATCAGAAACATATAACAGTCCATCATAAAATAATAGGGTATAGTTGTATCAGTAACCTGGTGCTAAAAAACCGGAATCAAGAATGCAAAGTAGTTGCGTAGTAATCCAAGACAGTACAGATAAGGGGGAAGGCAAGGAGTTTGACAAGGTGAAAGTTGTTGGTAGACAAGAATCACAAATATTGAGTGTCCACTTGATAGACAGATGTAAAGAAGGTTGAGAATGAGACTAGGGTCATAATGAAGGTGATAATAATAAACTAACTAATTATCATGAAATCGAAAAAATGCGAAAGTGTTAAGATCATGTTAAGATAAGAGATTGAACATACTATTTTGCACACACAGATCAGGCTTGAAGGAGTATGCCTTCGACAGTTATGCACTGAGGAAACACTGACAATTCGTCAATTCAAGCCTGATCTGTGTGTGCAAAATAGTATGTTCAATCTCTTATCTTAACATGATCTTAACACTTTCGCATTTTTTCGATTTCATGATAATTAGTTAGTTTATTATTATCACCTTCATTATGACCCTAGTCTCATTCTCAACCTTCTTTACATCTGTCTATCAAGTGGACACTCAATATTTGTGATTCTTGTCTACCAACAACTTTCACCTTGTCAAACTCCTTGCCTTCCCCCTTATCTGTACTGTCTTGGATTACTACGCAACTACTTTGCATTCTTGATTCCGGTTTTTTAGCACCAGGTTACTGATGCAATTATACCCTATTATTTTATGACGGACTGTTATATGTTTCTGATATATATAAATACGATTGTACAGCTATAGAAAATGATATTATCGAAGAAGAAAATTTTCTTCACTGAATTATCTCTTCTCTATGACTCACTGGGCATGCTTCGTAGACTCAGATTTTCATTTTCTTATTTAGTGTCAGATGTCATGAAAATTGCATAATGGTTTCGATGTACTTAACTTATATACTACACTCAAAACATGTTTACGCAGATCTCAGTAGTATAGAAAAGGAAAGTGGAAAAACAGTGCTATTGTGCCAATGATTTTTGCATTTGTTTGTGAAATAGTTTAACTACTTAATTAAATAGTTAGTAGCAATTTACTTACATTCTTAAGTAGAAAAATTCACTACTGTTCTATGAACTTTATTTTGAAGTAACAGATTTTTAAACTGAACAGAACTAAGTATTTCAGTGAATAAGATCTTTTTTCGAAGAGTCACTTGCAGTAGATGCACAGTTACGCTCCTAGTAAAAGTAAACAAATAAATAGGTCTTTTATTATCATTTTGATTATTTGAGATAGCCGTATTCTGTCAGACTAGTATTGACACTGAGTGATGATTGAAAGTGAAACGAGAATTAGGACCGCGATTGGACTCGAACCAGCCACCACTGAGTTTCCAGACCGATGTCCTACCAAGTGAAATGCGAGATCCCACTGCTGACTAGATTTGCGTTTCACTTCAATCATCAAAGTTTTCGCCAGACTATCATGTGGATTCGTTATGCTTTACTACCGCTTGATCGTATTCCCACTGACTGCCTAGTCAGGACTTCTCATCCCAATCCAAATCTAACAGAATTAGAGAGAGAGAGCATCATTTTGACTATCATTTTGGCCATCTCAGATAGCCTTGATGTGGAATAAAAATCTGATCAGCAATCTCACCTCATAGCTCAGGTGGTAGGGCATCGGACCGGAAACCCGATAGTTGCTGGTTCGAATCCGGCCGCGGCCCAAATTTTCATTTCAACTTCAATTATCACGCAAGGTAAAGGTCTTTTATTGTCTGATCTATCGTCAAAACAGGAACTTCCAGGGTGAATTCGTGAGTCGTTTCTGTATTTAGGACGGGACTGCGTAATCACTGAGTATATCAGGAAATTACGTAGTCAATTAAAAAAGCGACAATAGAATGAGTGTACCTCTTCTGTATGCAGAGCTTGGACTTTCACTGTTGGATTGCCAACGCCTCTCCTATACATGGGTGATAAGTCCGCACTCTCTAGATGTTATTTGCCTTGAAATCATATATGATTTTGAAAGACAACTGTGAGGAAGTGACATGACCACAGCTGATCAAATGGTCAACAAAGGAACTGTTGCTTAACTTATGTTCTACTCTGGACAGTCAACCAGGATATTGCCCAGAGATGCACGTGGAATGTCACAATACTGAATAAAACAAAGTTGACTGGTGGATTTTGTTAAAATCTATCCAAGGTGCCAGCTTTGCTTTATTTCAATTAATTTAAAAAAGGAATAAGTTGTTTTCAACTAATAAATGTGTTAAAACTTAACTAATTCTGTTTACTGAAACACTGTATTTCCGTGTAATTCACATTTTGAGCGTAAATGTAACTTTGAATCAATTAACTGAGAGTAATAGGACACTGCTGAATGAGAGATGGAAACCGCCTGGTTATCAAGGAACCAAAATAGCAAAAGAAAGTAGTTCTCTAACTTCAGATTATTCTTACCGCTCCTTTTGATGCTATCTCTTGATCATCAACCATTAAAAGACAGCAGTAGTGATGGCATAGCTGAACAGCAGGACATATTTATCCACTAAAATGATAATTCAATCAAAACCCTTTTAAAAATCTAACCTCATCAAATGATCTGAGTGTTTCGTTTTTGTCTCCAGTTTATTGACAGTATTTTGGTATTCCTATTTAGTAAGTATTTATCAATTTCTCTGCTGTCTAGAATGACGACATTGGAATTCGAAGTAAGTCGTCCATATTTGAAGGTATCCTAACCAACAATGAACTGCATGGTTTGAAGAAGCTTGGGCACAGAGTTAGTATGAATAGTCCATATTCACCTTTTCCTTGATTCTTAAGTTAATTATCTGCAATCATGTTAACTATTAGTTCCAGAAATATCAGGGTAGGTTCATTGCAACGACCGGATAATACAGAGTTTAGTAATTTCATGTATTTTATAAATTGGTAGCTGATTTTCCTGGTCAGGAATGGTCAGCATTTGTCGATGCTTGTAATTCCTAATGTGTTATATTAGATCTAATTGATAAACCACTGTTGGGACAAGAGCTCCAATGCAGATGATACTATATTGCCTGAATGTTCACTGTTATAATTTATCTGTTGGTAGCTAGCAATGGAAACCAGAAGGTGCGTTTCTTTTTATATGAGACTCGTCAGATATATCCAGGAAACCACATAGGAAGCCTTACAATCCAACAGTTGTTATTCAATTCGATTCAGTATAGCAGATGAGAATTACAAGTATCAATGACTAATACTAACTAATATCCATTGTACAAGAAGTGGTAATCATGCCCCAATGGACTAGTGGACAAAGCTTTGGCATTTGAAGTGGTTGGTAAGGGGTTCGAGTACCAGCGGGGACACCTTCACCCTTTAGGGTACAGGTGCATCCAGTTTATGAGTCACAAACAGGAGAAAACACGCCTTTTAGATCCTTTCTTCTAACCATCACCGGGTAAAGTTAAATGTGACCACCTGAATAACTGGTCAACCCGTAAAATGTCTAACTCCTTTTCTAATTAAAAATCAATTTAAAATAAGAATCTTCCATTTGTTAGAATGTTTTTTTGATCTTTTTATAGTTATCTGATAAGTTAGTGGACATAACATTAGCCAAGTTTGTGACAAGTACATTTTAAAAGGTATGGAACGTTCAAAACGAATAAAAATAAAATTCGGTATTGTAGATGAATTAATTTGGGTGTATAAAATGATAGGATGATTTATGTTTATGAAATGTGATAAGAAGGTTAAGTCGAATTATGAATAGTTTAAGGAAACAAGTATTACTATGGTATTTATATCAGAGGAGACAAGGAAAAGTAGAGACACAGCTCAAATTTGTAATAAAAGCTTGTAAATAAGTTGCGCAACGAGGAGAGATGATAGAGATCGAGTAGCATATAGTAGAAATATGATAGCTTATTAGTGGCATAAACATCTGTAAAATAATTGAAATTACTACATGATTCTAGCTTCGCTTCAATCACTGGGGATAATATCTGGTTATTATATGAATACGTGTTGTTTAACTCTTTGCTCAATGTAATCAAGCTAGCTGCTCAGGTGAGACTTACCCCAGTTTATATTGAACTGAATTGTTGATCACCATTGGTTACCCGATAACAATAACACAAAGAGCCTGTCAAAGTAGAAGTATCTCAGATAGTTTTTATCAACAAAGCCTTATCTAGAGCACTTGAAAATAATTTTTATTTCCAGTTATAAAATCTGAACACAATTTTCTAGAATAGATTCCGTTTTTCTAATTTTACTATCTATAGCAGTATTTTCTTCTCTCTATTGAGTTCTCAATAATTCCTGAATAATTTTTTTTTCTTCTAGCAAACAAATTTTATGTCATCATTAAATTATACACGAATAGTATGTGGTGATACAAAAGTTGAAATGAATCCATGCAACTGGAAAAAACTTGGTATGGACAAATTATTCGCTGAACAACAATGTCTTTATAGAATAACTAATACGGGAATAAAGAATAATTTTTACTAAGAATTAATTACACGGACGATAATGCTACTCATAAAATTATCAATAAGTATATTGTGTTTCTGTTTTTATTCATTATTCATACATAAGTGCAAATGCTTTACACTTTTATCCATTTTTCACTTTTATATGACTGTTAACGAAAAGTGTTATTTCATATGCTTTAGGCTTTTCTTTTATCCTTTATTATGTGACTAGGTATCTTTAAAGAAGCATTTTAAAATAAATAGTTAGACTGTGATACCAACCATTTTTATTTAATCGAACTTGCACTAAAAATCTTAAAACAGATAATGAGGCTAAAATAAGCTTGACAATGATGACAAGTAGAACAATTCCTCAGTATTCAGAGTGCTTGTATAGACAAGATTTTATTGTCTTGAATTCAAGCAATAACTGAGCTAGTAAATTGCTGTCGAACAAGTGAAATCATAGTAGATGTCCATATTGAATGTACAACTTGTTACAAATACGGTTATCAAATGTGTTAACATCGTTGATGAATAAATGAAAATGTGGCTAGTTGAATTAATCATTCAGCTTGCAAGCAACGTCTCTTAGGTTAAATATCTACTCCATTTTTTCCCAGTTTATACAACCGCGTAGTATCATAAGCTGTCAGTCATATAGCGAGTTGGATTCATTAAATTAAAAAATATGCCTAAGTAAAGATTACTTCACACTAAAAAACTGCTGAAGTCGGATCTCAGAAAAATGTGTGCTGTTAAATACTGCATGCACTTCATCCTTTTTCTACAAACACTTTGGCATCATTACAAACAATATATTTAATTCTTTCTTAAATAAGCTTCACACCTGATGTCATCAGATACCATAGTCAAATCTTCACTAGGAAAGATAAGACCGTGAAATGAATAACAGAGTAGTACTTCACAAAAAACACACTAACCCTGGTACTAAGAAACAGTAATATGCAAAAGTTTTTCAGCATACATTTCAAACACAACCCAGTTTTCACTTACTAACACTTGGGATGAAAATATAAAAAGCAATTTTTCAGACATTAAGATAGAACTTCACAAATGATGAGTTAGTTTGTCGACGATCAACAGATTTTTAAACATAGGAACTGAATACGGAACACATATCTATCCTGATTTAAATTAACAGTAAAAGAAATTAGGAGGATAAGAGTTACTGAAATATCAAAAATATGGCGTCAGTTCTTTATCTCTATTTGATGAGTAGTCTGAAAGTCAAAGGTGAATGAAAATAAGATATACAGCTAGTTAAATATACATTGTGTTGGTTATTATCTAACCATTTTACCTCCTAGGTACTATATATTAAACATTTACAATTACAAAACTTGTACTAAGTCATTATTCCACTGAACTCAGAAATGATAGGCTAAAGTCAACGTATGATGAACAGAAAGATCTACATATCTCACTTTCAATAAAAGCAAAATGAAATGTATCTGAACATTCTGTAAATATTAATTAAGTTCCAGTTTTAATGAAATCTGCAACACAGTCTGAAAACTAGATCAAAGAAAGACGCTTTTATTATGATGACTCAGAAAATTGATATGACTAACACTGTCAGCCTATGAGTACAAGGGGCGTTTACTTTCTACAAATGTGGAATAAGACAAAAGGCAGCTGGCGTTTTACTAGTGCAACCATCTATGCAGTTAGAAATGACTCAAGAGATAATTCTGTAATATTTGTCATACAAACATATTACGAAATCAACTGTATACTAGAGAAGCAGCAGCTTAAATCTGCGTGAAATACATTCACTTCTATATAGATCAAAGTTTTTAAATATCTGTATATGCTCTGCTGAATTGTCACTGTTATACGGGAAAGTTTTTATCTAACCTTTTGGTTATGCGTGAGTTTACCTTTTGTTTCCAAAGTAGTGTTCATCATGGACTGAAATCAGTTAAAGAACCACTTAAAACCTGAGTGTAGTGAGTGCCTGTTTCGTGCTAGTATAGGACTCTTCAGCACTGCTCACCCACTACGCAACCAGGAGTCGAACCCAGGACTTTCAGGTTCTGTTGCAAGTATATCATCATTCAGCCGCCTATTGCACATTCAAATAAATCTACAATAGAAAAATTCTTCCCGGATATAATCTTTCAAATGAACATGAAATTGTTGAAAGTTGGCTTTATCAAAACATTTTATAAATGAAAATATAAAATAATAACAAAGTTGTTTACTTGTTGAAGCACGGGTACAAGTTGAAATCACTGGCATAAAATAACTTTCCGGTATTCTTTAATTCTTCCTTTATATACACAGACTCATATAATTTGTGCATTCATTGTTTTTTTTTGTATACTTAAAATTTACAGTAGTTTATCAGTCACAAAAATATGAACTTCAGGAGACATTACTACCTCAGTTTTGAGGAGCATAAAGGATTTAATTCACCGTTTAAAGGGAAAGAATTAAAATATATTCATAGTTCAGGTCTAGTTACATCAAGCATTACATAAATTATATTATAATTGTAATAATTAATTATAATTTATAATGAGTCTAAAGAAGTAGCCGCTGCGCTCCTTGTTTCCACTTACATTAAGCACAAAAAATATACCCATGAAATGGTAATTTCACCTTGTGGCTTATTTCAGTACTCTTAGAAGATTTTACGTCGAATTCAACACCAAACATTTCTGAAAGCGGAATGCTTTAAAGATCCTACAAGAAACCTATTTAAATCTTCGCGAAATACATAGCAATGTGGAAAGTGGTTTCAAAACTCAGCATCTCAGAACAAATTTAATAGCAGCAATTTGTTCCTGGAACACCATCACTTGTTTAGGTCAATTTACAATTTTATTCTGAAATGCACACGAAATTTTATAGTAGTCTATGACTTAACCAATTTTTCAATTTAAACATGAAATATATCTTAGATTAAAACTGTGAAGCAGTTCTTTGCAGACATACAAGCATCGAGATATTAGTAGATATGGGAATAAATTCCAGATTTCACCAGAAGGCTTAAATCAGCATTCGCTTCGGTGACACTTGGCTCAATACATCCCATTTGGAATCAGAAAAGGTAAAGACGGCGCATTTAAAATGTTTATAGCCTTCATATCAGATTAAGTTGACAAAACCTGTATAACATTCAAAATACTTTCACTTAGGTTTATTGAGTAGTACATACACAATTTTCTTGCCTAGATATCTAAGTGCCCAAATATGCTTGTTACGCTATTGGAATCATTGGACACACACCATTATCACTATCATTTCATTTAAAGCCTAAACCTGGGGGGATAGTCACTAGAAAATGTTTCATATAAAACAGTATTACAGCATTATGAATAAATGAAAGTCGTATAGAGTGAAAGAATGAAAAACAGAAGTTGAAAATTGCGTATCCTATACAGTTAAAGAGTTGATCATTGCCTTAATTATACTTTCCGATAGCAGAAGAAACAAGAAGACTACAGCATGATTCTGAGCCACATGAGACATTACCTTCAACCAATGAACCACATGATCTGTCCGATCGCATTCAAGAAGTCCTGTGGCACTAACAGATGCTAACCTAGCCCAGCTACTCATTACTACGTCATACAGTGACCAGCCACCTGCTCTTTCTAACTGCCACAAAAGCCACTGCGACAACACTAAAAATGTGTCTTATTTATGAAAACTAGTTCTTCATGATGAATTTACTTAATGAATGACGCTTCCTACCAAGGCTAAAAAGGTACCACTATACATTAGGCATTAAAATAACTAAGGTTGGCATATATGTCACTGTGGTTTTCTATTCTGAATTTCATCAACTGCACTTTAACCAGGACACACAGAAACTAGGGAGCTACCCGATCCCTTCGAATAATAGCCTATATGTAGTCAGAAAGTAAAATTATAGCATTTACATACTCAAAACTGGAAGACTCTTCACCTAGTAGCAGATCTACACCGGTACCATGTCTCCCTAGATCTGTTTCAAGAATGTTATGGAAAGATCAAAAATCTGGAAAAGCACTGGGCCATTGCATTACATTCATTAACACACAACCACACAACAGGGTGGGACAAAACACTGTACTTAAGTCTAATATAGCTAGGTGGAGAGAGAGATTAATTACTGAATCTTTGTTCATCGAATCCACACCCAACACATATAATAGGAATGACGCAACACCTATACCAGAGATATGGGAAACTTTACTACCACTCAAAAAACAAAGAAAAATCGGGTGACAGGACTATAAAATCAGATATCGGAAGAAGTGTGATTACATTGAAATGATTATGAGCAATAATTTATGCTCGAAAAGTAATCAAGTAAATAATACTGTATTCTCTCGTCGAGTTGTCTTCTGTTTCTTCAGTTGTTGTCGCTGCCTTTGGACGTGATGAAGATCCCGTCGCCTGCAGAGTTCGAGGATGGAGACATCAAGGTCTTCCTCAAGGACTTCGAGGCGGTGGCGGGGCTGTTGGGGGTTCGAGATCCGGAGGTGAAGGTCGTGGTGCTGGGAACGTTGCTGCGGGGCAGAGCGGAAGCAGCATATGACGGAGTGGAATGTGAAGACGGGGAGGAGACTTGGAGGAGAATGGTTCAGCGCCTGGAGGAGGATTTCGACAGCTCGGCGGACAAGGAGGAGGCGATGCAGCCGCTCCGCAGCGCGAAGCTGGGAATAGATGAAGATCCGCTGGTGTTGGCTGTGAAGTTGACCAAACTACTTCGATGAGCGCTTCCCATGTTGGATGAGGATGCCCAACAGCAGTTGCTGACCGCACAGTTCACTGAGAGTGTCCCGAATGCCACTGCCCACCAGTTACGACTAGTCAATACAGTCCAGCCCATGGACATTAGAGAAATGGCCAAGGTGACCAGACAGCTAATGGGTACAGGAGTAGCGGCAGTGGAGTCACCAGAGGTAAATAACTGGCAAGAACAAATCAACAACCTTCAGAAAGAGATAGCAGCACTGCGAATGAGCGTCAACAAACAGAGTATATGCTTCGCATGCGGGAAACTGGGACACTGGCGAAGGAATTGTCCGGAGAGGCGGAAAAGAAAACGTTTTGAACGATATAATATGAGTTCTGTTTTTCCGACTAGACTAGATATCGTAGGAGCCATAGATCGAGGCGCGGTGTGTGCTAGATTGCGAATAAATGGTCGGGATATCGTGTGTCTCATAGATAAGAGGCAGTCTCACAACACATGACCACATGCGCTAACGGTCCATACGGTTGGGGGACATGCACTGGATATTGCGGGCTTGTCAGATTGCGTTGTTGAGATCGGGAGCCAGAAAATTAGATTCCCATTTATTGTGACTGCGCGCCTACAACGCCCAATCCTAGGTGCCGATTTTCTGAGAGAAGTGGGTGCAGTGATTAACACGAGAACAGGAATAGTGGCAACGAAGTACGGGTCGTTCAACACTCAGGAAAACAGCGAGGTAGCAGAGATTGAAGTACCAAAAGCACCGTACCCAGAAACGCCAAACATCATGAAGGTGGTTAAGAAATACGACAGATTGTTCACAGGAGATGGAGACCCCTATGGTTATTGTGACAAGGTTCAGCATGAAATCCCAGTGACCAGTCAGGTAACGACAACATTCATCACACGGCGAATACCATGTCACTTGGAACAAGAAGTTGGGCGCCAGGTTCAGGAAATGCTAGATGAAGGTATTATTGAAGAGGCTGACAGTCCATACAGTTCTCCAGTACTTTTAGTAAGAAAGTCAAATGGGAAATATAGATTCTGCGTGGACTTCCGGGAGTTAAATAGCATAACGCAGCTGAAGCCATGTGCCATGCCGACGATAGCGGAGACACTGGATCGTTTGCAGAATGCGAAAGTATTTACAGTTCTGGACCTCCGCTCGGGCTACTGGCAGCTACCAATAAAAGACAGTGATAAAGAGAAAACAGCATTTATTGTGGGCAAGAAGCAATACCAATTCAAGCGAATGCCATTTGGTCTGGCAGGGGCGCCCTTTACATTTAGACGATTGATGATGTTGCTGAAGAATTTAGAGAACGTAGAGGTGTACGGCGATGACCTGGTGGTGTACAGCCAGACGGAGGCAGAACACATAGAATACCTTGAAGCTGTTTTGAGACGTATCGATGAGTTTGGACTCCGCATCAATAAGACAAAATCTCAAGTAGCCAAGAGGAGTGTTACGTTGCTGGGACACAAAGTTGGAAACGGCGAAATAAAACCACTACCCGAGAAAATTCTGACAGTCAGAACTATTCCAGTGCCGAATTCCAAGAGGAAACTGCGACAATTCTTGGGTAGAGCAGCATTCTACAGTCGGTTCCTCAAAAATTTCAATGAGATAGCAGCACCGTTATATAAGCTACTGGGCAACCCCAAATTTGTGTGGACGGAGGAGGCACAAAAAACATTTGATCACATCAAAGAACTCCTAAATGACCAGGAGATGACGTTAAAACTACCAATACCTGGTAGGCCATTTATCGTGTCCACCGATGCAAGTGATTATGGAATAGGGGCAGTCCTGAGACAGACTGAAGGAGTAGTGGAGTATGCCAGCCGCGTTCTAACACCCGCAGAACAGAAATATTCTACAATGGAAAAGGAATGTCTAGCGATAGTTTGGGCGCTGGAGAAGTGGAGATCGTACCTCCTCGGTCAACGATTCCATATTGAAACGGATCATAAACCTCTACAGTGGCTTAAGACAGCGAGAGACCCCAGAGGAAAATTATCACGTTGGGTGTTACGACTGCAAGAATATGACTTCACCATCGGCCATGTGGCAGGGAAAAAAACTGGTTGGCAGACTTCTTATCAAGATCTGACGAAGAAAATGAGCTACCTGAGATCGCATACGGCGTACATGCAGTGGAATGGAACCCGTTAAGACTTATTCGCCTTCAGAAGTCGGACCCGACACTGAAAGAAGTGATCAAAGCCATAACTGAAGGGACAGAGACACAAACGTCTGTGGGAGATAAAGAGTTGAGAACGTTGTTGACGCAGAAAGAACGCCTACGGATGAATACTTATGGAATGCTAACGTGGCGAGAAAATGACGGAAGCTGGTTGGCAGTGATTCCGAAATGTCTACGCGACAAAATGATACAAGAATGCCACCAGTTAGCTCATACAGGTGTCTCACGGACAGCTGACCTTCTCAGACAAAGTGCATACTGGCCAGGTATGAGAGAGGATGTTGCCAAATACGTGCTGGGGTGTCCTCATTGTCAACTGATGAAAGGTGATCGGTATGTACGGCCGCCACTGCAGTCGATTCCAGTAGCAGCGGTTGGTGACCTGTGGTCGGTGGACGTAATGGGACCATTTCCGCAGACGTCTAGTGGCAACCAATACCTGTTGGTGATGACGGAGCATGCTACACGATGGGTAGACGCTGTCGCGATTCCTGATCAACGCGCGAAGACAGTGACCGCAGCGGTGATGCGGCATATTATCGCGGATCACGGTGTGCCGAAGATGATACTGACCGACCAAGGTCCTTGTTTTGAGAGTGAAGAATTTAAATCCTGTTTGGAGCAGCTTGATATCAAGAGGATAAGAACGACGCCGTACCACCCACAGACTAACGGTTTGACAGAACGGAATAACCGTACACTGAAGGAGTGGCTAGCTTCGAAAGGAGGAAATTGGGAGACGGAACTGCCGTTAGTATTATTAGCTCATCGTGCCTCGGTACAAGGAACAACCAAGAAGTCGGCGTTCCAGTTAATGTATGGCAGGAAACCACGGCTCCCGATACATAGTAAGACCTGGCCCCAACAACAGCCTTGGAACATGACAAGATTGAGAGAGGAGCGGAAACAGGCTATCAGGAATGTGGAACGAAAGCAGAAGGCTGATGCTGAAAAATCTGAGCAGAGAGAAGGAAGTAAATGGAAACCATTTGAGGTTGGAGATCAGGTGAAATGTAAAGAACGAGGATATACGTCAGGAGGTGAGTATGGCAGAAGGAAACTACTTCCGAAGTGGGAAGGACCATACATCATTACCGAGAGACGCGGTTCAATTTATACCATCAAACAAGGGAACAAAGAGAAAAGAGTAAACGCCAGCCTACTTCAAAAATGGAAGCAGTGGAAAAAAGACGAAACAGCGAGTGAAAACCAAGAGAAGACAGCACCAAGACGATCAACACGGTTGCAAGCCCGGAATTTTGAGGGGGGGGACGAGTGTAGTGGGCGTTGCTGATAACAACGGATATAAGTAGTATATATCGAGAGGGTGGCAGGAATCATAGGGAATTACCGGCAATGCGTAAGGTTTCTGCCAAGAGCAACGCAGGGGACAACACAGGCGTATTACAGGGGATGCTGCTGATAAGAGTGTGTGAAGAGCCGGTCAAGAGCAAATCAAGACAGGAACGGAGAGGAAACGAAGACATTTGCAAATGGCTGCGTTAGTGCAAGGAGTACTATATGTAACCACTACCATTGCAATTATTGTGGCAGACGTTTTCTCGTCGAGTTGTCTACTGTTTCTTCATTACTACTTATATGCTTATATAAGTAGCTCTTATCATAAACTAACAGAATAAATCCCACTGCCCAATTGCTGCTGGATTATCTTACAACTAAGATTAAGATTTCAATATGATTATCACTATTTATACCATTGCACTGGCACAATTGAAATATTGCTGTTCGAGATACAGTATTATCCACAATATTCTCAATGCACTTGAGTAGATGAACTTAACACACCTACAGCATCTGTAGACCATGACTTCAAAAACTGTTGACAAATATATTGACCCACAAAAGTAATAAAGTAATGACTACATTGGGAAATAATCGGTAGTAATCAAGTTTAGACAGGATGAAGTTGGTTGCTCTCCAATGACCATGCAATGTATCTAATTCAATCCTCAAGAAGGTCAGCCAAGGCTCGAGTAGCTCAGTGGTAATGTCACTGACTGAAACACTGAGTGCTGCAGGTTCCAGTCTCAGAGGAGACAGCCTCGTTCAGGTTACAGATGTCTCGCTGACGAGTGCCAACAACCACGAAACCTAAGTCCACAGATTCTTAATGATTGCCTCCATCCAACTGACATCATCTCCCCTTCTGGTGAACAGATCCAAAAGAATGAAGCAGTTGTCCCGCTTATAACCCATTGTAAACTTTATATTATAAGGTTCTGTTTTAAAAATTCGAAATGTTTCAAAGTCGCGGTTTAAATCTTCACAAGTCACCAACCTGTAATGCATAAACCTAGAGTAAAAGGTATCATTCCTGGATATGAATTCCCTAACCTCCTGCTAACAGAAATAACCAATTATGTTCAAATTAATGAAGGTGCGAAAGATTATTATTTGTTTACCTGAAGGAACTTATTCTGACACAGATAACGGACTCACGATTTTAATTCACTTGAAAGGTAAGAATAGAGTTAACTGCTGATGCTTTCTTGACAGATGTGGTTGTGCTAAGCTAAAGCGTATTAAATTGGAAAACTAGTGTACAGTAACTAGATGTGTATTACCACTTTATGGATCACATATTAGTTCTCCATGACAAACAGGCTATTATGTGATAACTTTTGTTAAATCTCATAAAACTTATCGAATGACCACTCTTATGCGTGAGCTTGAAGGCGCGAACAGAGTTCTTATCTTGGATGCCTTGTTAACAAGGGGGAAGGATGGATAACCCAAGTGATTTATGCACATACTTTTGTCAACTGCCTCCAGCCATCTACCAATCTTAGGATCAGAAAATATGCTGTACATAATGCGAGGAACAGACAAATACTTAATGTTGACTGCAAGCCAGTGGCTTATTCTTCATCAAGTACACAAAAACGAAAATAACAACGACAAGTGAAGGAAGAATTCTTGAGTTTATAAATGGAGGAACAACGGCGAAACTAAACAAGAATTACCAACATAGCAAAGTCTCTATCATACGAAAACTACTACTTTCTTTCATCAAACTCACAACTTTGTGGAAATGTTTTGCCGCCATTATTTCCACAGATTGCAGAATTTTGACACATACCATAGTACGGTGATCCAGGCACAACTTGACGCTTTCGATCAGTTTCCTTCGTTTTGTATCCTTAACAAATCATAAAGACATGGAACTGCCAATAATCCACTCCAATTCCCTAGTCAACCTCAACATTGTTCAACGAATACTGTTTCATACATCCTGCTTTATTTCACAGAATTATTTAGACGATGGTTTTCTTTTCAGTTATTATTTATTGTTTTGTGCCTCAAGAGTCAAGGTTGTTTAGCTGAAAGGTGTGGCTTATCGGCTAGCAAATATATTTTAGTTAGTTACATGTAAATCCATGTTCAGGCTTCCTTCTGTTCACACATGCTTCTGCATGTGAATTGGAAGTTGCATAAGTAATGGGTATCCACCTCCCTTAGAGACTCATAAATGTGGAAAATCAAAGAATAGTTGGTAATTTTCATCCCATGTGCAACGAGAACTGGGCGGGAAGTCAAAGAACCCCAGTAAATCCAACGAGTTATATACCACTAGCAAGTGAAACGTAGATGTTACAGTCAAATTTGTCTCCATTAAATGTACACATATACGTCTGATTACATATTTCAACAGGGTCTATACACTTAAATAAATCTACGAAGACAAAAATCTATCCAAAAACTTAAAATAAATGTAGAACATTTATACTGAAGCGTTAGTTTACACCACATTAGTTTGCATTTCAATCAGTTGACCGTACGCCTAAAATAGACTATGTGCAGCCTTTTATCATTATGAAATATTCGTGCGCGAGGAATCACCACAAACTTCAGCTACGGGTCATTCAATGCTAGGAAGGAGAGATGAAAAATGAAAGACAAGAAAGGATCTTTAGTGAAATTATATGTATTTATGCATATGAACGAAAAAAAGGCAAAATATGTGTATCTGTTTTAACCATCAAAATGAATGAAATGAAGCAGAACTTAAACATACAAAGGTGATAATAAGCTAGACAAAATAAACATGATACGTGTTGTACATACTCTTTAGTTAGAAAATCACAATTCAAAAGCTAATGTAAAAGAAGTTCACTTGAATAACACATCAGTAACAAAAAGACAACATATATAAGCATAATAATAAATCTATTTAACTCATAGTCAAGACTCTGTATAAATGCTACACTTTATTTTATATTTCAGCAAGAAAAAAAATGAATGCTCGCTTACTTTGATGAACACTAAACGCTTTATGATGAAAATATAATGGAAATTCAGTAAATGAAATGGAAGAAAATTGAAAAAAAAATTCTCTCGCTCTGATAAAAGGCAAACAAATAATTAAACACATATGAGAAATATAGATTACTATCTATTTCTTCCTTCTTTGGTTAAGCAGTTAATTAAACGGACGTGTATACCCATGGGCAGGAGTTGATGTATGAGCATGTTGCATATCTGTAGCCGGTGAGACAGGCTAAAAAAAAAGCATATCACGAAATTTTCATAATCATTTCACAGTATTTTATCTATGACTACACACTGAATACAGTACACATAAGTGTTAAACAAGTAAGGCTATGAATCATGAGTAAAAAACACTGATGGAGCTGTGGTTCACCAGTTTAAGGCGATGACTTGCAACCAATGGTCACGAGTTCGAAGCCCACTTAACCTGCCAAAGTTTGAGCAGCCAAGTAGTATCACTAGCTGTTACACAATAAGGTGTAGTTTATGGCCTTGATGAATGCAGTAAAAACACTGTATACTCAACCGGGATATTAAAGATAAAATATCGATCCACCAGTAAACGTTGAGCAGGTGAAATATTAGAAGACCTCATATAGGATGAGAGGACAAAAGTAGTACACGAGTTTCTATATAGTCGATGAATCGTTATCCATCTGTATATTACTACGACGTAAACGTTGACAAATATAACAAATAATCTTTTGAATATAACTACAGTTTATTAGGTAAAACTATCAACCCGTACTACGATAACCTAATAGGTCATTGGCAGAATTGTTTAGGTTAGAATTCGTCATGGACTGACATCAGTTGGAGGAACATTGGAAACCTGGGAGCAGTGGACAGCTGTTTCGTCCTGAGGCGGGACTCTTCAGCAGTGTGCACCTATGACCCTGCAAGGGATCAAACCCAGGACCTTCAGGTTCCGTGGCCAGCACGTTACCATTGAGTCACTGAGTGAGAATCCAATAGCCCATATTTCCTACTTCTGTCAGTCCACGATATAGCACTACCTACATCCAATGTCGTCGCTGAGTAACTGTCCTCATGTTTGACTTCGTTCACTTCACTGGCCGCGACTTCTCATTGGAACTTCAGGAATCACCTCTCGAAGCTAGTCAAGAATGAGAGCAAGATTGCTTAATTTCAAAAAGGATAAACAACTGTTGGTAAAAGTAAAAGTGTATTAACTTCAGGATTGAGTACATAAGTGTTGACACAGATTGAACTTCATTATGATACAGAACTCGCTATTTTGGTTTTATCTTATGTGTTCACATCACTTGTGCTGACTTGATCACGCTGTATAGCTAAGGTATCCAAAAGGTAAAACAATGTTATTGTTAGCTCAATCTCCATAATATTCGAACGATCTTTACACACAAAAATGGTTACTGGATAAAAGCCTTAATGAATCGTTATTAGTTCTTTTTGAAACTCAGGGATTATCGCGTTAGCCCTAGATTGATACCCATACTTATTTCAACTTTAATCACCAACCTTCTATGATTTTTCATTAAAACACCGAAAGGGAGTCTCATATAACAATCAAAGTTATAGACTTTTTCTAACTGAAAAAGTTTAGTTATTAATGTCACCCAAGCAGTAAACAAATCCAAATCTAGAAAATGTTTAACATAAGTAATGTGTGATGATGATCAACTTTTCTTGATCAACTTTTGTACCTTGACTAATCACAGATTGAAAAGTCAGTGAACATTAGACAATGTTTTGCTTCTTAGAAACGCTTAATAAAAAATGGAATAAAACTTCACACAATCCATACCTTCGTTGTTTGTTGACTGACCTCTGGAGTTTGAAATGATTCATCAGATATGTCTGCAATATCTGAAAAAGAATATATATTATATACAAACTATTAAATTCATAAAACTTTCAGTGAAATACCAACTAAAATTCAGCTTCTAATGAAACATACATCAAAGTTCAACTCACAGTCGATAGGACTTGAAAACTGAGATATCACATATTACACAAATACCATCTAAATTTTAGCATAAAACTATGTCGCACTACACAACTGACAGTAAGGTTAACATTCGCCAGTTTAACGAGTTTCTCAAAGCGATAAGGCTTAGGTAGAACTCTACAAGGAGCAAAACATCCTTATTAAATTGTGAATACAAACCAACCTTACTAAAAACATAAGAAACTGTTTTTATTCCCATTTCATTAGGTGTCATCAAACCATTCTTTAACTTTCCACCCGCAGAACACAGGTCCAAACCCTGCTCCACTGACGGAAATATGTGCATCGAAATAGTAATATAAGTCTTTACACCATATGTGCATTGCATTGTCTACTTCACCAGGCTGTCTGTGATTGCTGATTACATTGGGTGGTAAGATAAGAGGCTGCTATATTTCAATATATAAGAAATGGGCAATAACAATACGCAATGAATATTAGCAGTGAAATTCGTCAAGTTATTTGAAATTAGAAAACGCAGCCTCCACACACGTTTGTTCATTCAAACTTACTGAATATAAACTGCTTAAAAGTAGCTTGTTGAAATGCTGCGATTACTGAATTTGCTTTGGATATGCTATGAAACATTACCTTCAGTCAATCAGACAGCAACTAGATAAGTGTAACACAGGTCCCCTCCATCTGAGTCGACGAAGGTTCACTACTGCAACAAGTAAATTCCCTTTCCTACCTAAATATGTATGCCTGACGTTTACAATACTGACGTGGTGGTATCACAACATATGACCTATGCTACGAAAGCAACGGTGGTCGAACACTTGAAGCCTTCTAATGTTCACCTTTATTGATCACGTTTCATAATCATATAGCATAACTGAGTGAAATGAAGCACAATACACGTAACCATTAGATAAGAATGTAGGGAATTCATATCATCGAAAAATACCACTCGCAACCCACCTGATGCCTCACCATAGGCTCTAACAAGCCTGTGGATGTTTGCACACAAAAACTTTAAAAAATATTTATATCCCCACGTCTATTTAGGCATGATTGGTTGGGACAGCATCTGATTACTGTCAAAACACATGAGCAAGAAGGAAAGAAAATCTTCCATTGACTCTTCTCAGTGATAACTCATAGTAACATGATCTACCGTTGAGTTACAGTCAGCGGATGCCACATTCGATAATATCTATCTTTATGTCTGATGTTCGTGCTAGTCAGAAATAGGTAGTAGTCTAAGCATAATTGTAGCAGACGGTAACCGTTATGCATCAGTTCAGTTGAGATTCCAAAAGTGCCGCCTAAGTCACTACTTGAATGTCTTAGTCTACCTACTTTAGCATTGAAATCACTTGTTATGACAACCACATCTGAACATTATGCTTCCAGTAGGAAATTAGATAGTTTTCGGTAGAACGCATCCTTCACTACATTCCAGCTGAAGTCAGTGGGTGTCTCAGCAGTTACCAAAGATAGACAATTCTGAGTTTCACTACTCTTTTTAGTCTGCACCTCACCATTCAGTGGAAGAACGCACAGGTGACTGTCAACTAGGATTCGTCCAAACAGTGCACTGTCTCTCTTAGCACTTAATGGTATACCTACACACATGAACTACCAAGGGAAGTAGTTATTGCATCATCAAAATATCGAAGAGTAAATTTGACAAATTCACTACATCGACCGGAAGAGGTTAAGTGAATAACAGCACTTGGATTGTGTAAGCACGTTTCACAAACACGGTTCACGTTTATGGCACGAGATGTTACAGTATTAGCTAGTCAACTAAATCTTCCGATTCGATGGGAGATATAGGGAGTGAAAGCTCAAATAGGTAATTTGGAGTGCGACATCAGGAGACCAAAGTTGCTGTTCCGTAAACTCAGATCACTGTCAAAATCTGCGGAGCTGGAACAAATTAAAGATGACAAAGGAATACAGACTATCCAACCAAGAACCTATCACTCAACAAATATACAGAAGGAAGTGGAGATGGATTGGATGGGGCATACACTGAGAAGGCCAACTGGGGACATCATGCGTCAGGCCAGGCCGTCGATTGGAACCCCGATGGGAAGCAACAAGTTGGGCGTCACAGTTGACGGTGACATGCAGGAGATCGTGCGAGAAGGAAATGAGAGCTTGTGGGCTGTCGTGGAGCCAGGTTCAAAAGATTTCAGAGAACAGAGTTCACTGGAGACGTGCTACTGAATCCCTATGTTCCATTAGGAACCCAAGGGACTAATAATAATAATAATAATAATAATAATAATAATAGGAATACAGACCGAAAGATGTGAAGGAAGATTAGAAGGCAAAGACATAGAAGGTTGATAATGATCTTTCAGCGTAGTCATATAGTGGAACCTAACTTCCTGATTGAATACCTGAGAAAGTAGGGTTAGTAATCGTGGTGGTTGGTTGCAGAGCCCACAGATATCTGCTAGAAACCGGTTATCTGTGACCCTTTTTTCAAAGTTCGAGATTTAACCTTAACTGACTTAAATCTAGGTACGAAATGCATACACTTCGCATTGAGGGAGCGCAGAACAGATGAGTATGTTTTTAGGGCTAACTTTTTCTAAACCTCTCATTTCCATAAAGGAAGTAGCACTAACATGGAATCCTGATCTTCTACGGAAAACATCTTACTGCTATCACACCTTGTCCAGTCAGAAGTACAAGTGATCATAGCGTGGCTTATTTACGCTGAAATGACTTCTTTGTCTTATGATTATTCCACAGACCTTACTGGTGTGGTAAGACCTCGAGGAAACAAGCGTTTGAACTAGCATAACTCGATGGATGGTTGTGATATGAAAACCTAACCACACAGATCAATGAAGCTACTTTCAGCCGAGAAGCAATATTACTGTCTAACTAAACAATACTTACCAGGCATAGAGAATGAATTTTTGGCAAATTGATATTTTGATCTCCTTTTGAAAATGGGTCTACGAAACTTTGCAGACAAAGTAGGATTTTTGTTAGATGAGCTCATAGTGCAGAAACGACTGGTAGTATGTGATGAACCACAAGCTTGGTACCCTTGTACTGGGGTTACAGGAGTAGGAGTTACGTAATGAGACTTGTGACCACACCGATTGACAGGAAACGCTTCTTTACCAGAATCCATTGCCCACCGAAACATGTTCATCCCGACCAAGAAACAACATAGTAAAATAGGACCAATCAAAGCGCCTTCAGGTCCTTGGCAGTATATCCCGCCAGCAATTGCTAGACCAGTAAAGTACGGATGGCCAGCTCTGAGAAGGAAGTAAAACGAAAGTACAATACTTCTTAGTGAAAAATCCATTACAAACATAAACGTTCATTATAATACGGAGTAAAGAAAGGCTAGTATTGAAAAAGAAACAACCGGCAGTATATTATCCTGTACCTAAAGTCATTCATTTCAGATTCTTTCGAAACGAGAAATCCTATACAATGTACACCATTAACACTGAGAAGCTTGACACAACTAAACTCATTTCAGAGTCTAGAACTTAGAAGGGGCATGATTTCAAATCACGTTGCAGAAACCAGTGTACAAAATAAGTTCCCCTGTTTAGTTTCATGAAGAATGTTACTTAATTAATGATATTATTATCTCTAGTTGCACAGGAATGCAGGTGGCGGTAATGAAAGGAGATATTCCAGTTGACAATAATTTCTTAATTGAATTTTGGGGGTTGATGGAGATTTAGAGATTTTCCAAGTTGGTATTCATCATGGACTGATATCAGTTGGGGGAACATTGGAAACCTGGAAACACTGGACAGATGTTTCATCCTAGTATGGGGCTCTTCGGCAGTGCGCACCCATGACTCCGCCAGGGATCAAACCCGCTACCCTCAGGTTCCGTGGCCAGAACGTTACCATTGAGCCACTGGGTCGGAATCCAGTGCTTCATACTTCCAAGTCAGTGGTAGCATGCTGGCCACGGAACCTGGAGGTCGTGGGTTCGATCCCTGACGGGGTCATGGTTGCGCGCTGCCGAAGAGCCCCATAGGTCAAACAAAAATACAATAACGATACATCCCTAAGGTTTGTTTTGTCGGTCATGAACTCTCTACATCACAAAGTGAGCATGGGTTCGCCAAGAAAATATAAAAGAACCCGGAGAAGCTATCAGTACACTCTAAGAGGAATATTTAAATAAGTGGAAAGTGTACAGCATTTGAATATATCAGGGAAATTCACGACATCGTACGATGTTACATCTCTTTTAACAGATATATCTTTTCAGGAAACCATCGACATCGACAATATCTAAATAGCAAAGGATGAACTTAGGCATCTTTGCCCCTATGCATAGTTCCAATTCGATGGTGTTCTGTATAAACGATTTGATGAAGCAGGAGCTACGGAATATTCTCTGGGATCGGTACCAACTGACATTTATTAAAAATCTGAAGAGGATCTATCAAAAATTCGGTGAGTGATAAATGTGCTTTTTATGTACGATATGCCAATGATACTTTTGCAATATCTTTCAACAAGGATCAAGAACTGCTTTAAATATTTAATAACGCCCACTGTAAAATCAAGTTCACAATGGAGTGAGAAGAAAATCAAGTAAGCTTTTTTTATATATGTCTGAAACGAAAGGAAGGTGGTATTATTGAGAAAAGCATTCACTGAAAAGAACTACTTGCAGTGGTAAACAACTAAACTTCAATAGCTTTTGTCTGATCACTAACAAGAGAGGGTTAGTGAGAAAGTTGTACTAAAGGAGCAGAATAAGAAGTTTGAAACAGAACTGAAGCTAACTCAGCAACAGCGGCTACACAGTAGGTATGCTCTCAAATCTATAACAGAATGCTACATGGACAACAGGAGACAGCAACAGAGGTAAAAAGAAACGAAGCAATTTTTAGAGGATGATGACCCAGAAGAAAGAATAAGAAGTTTTGAAAATTCCTATCATGTAAATTAGAACAAGACATGTAAGAGAACAATATTGTTTTCAATTAGATCTTCTTCAGGCTTTACTCTAATACAAATAGCTTCATATATATATATATATATATATATATATATATATATATATATATATATATATATATATATATATATATATATATATATATATATAATTAGACCAGTCATGTAGATTTGTCGGTTAGTGTGATATATGTTTTGAGAGAACGATGGTGATAACTTTGACTAAAACACCTGCAATACAAATGATAAGACACTCCGATAATAAATGTGGGTCAAAAGCTTGGGAAAATAAAAGTTACGTAATGCTGAAGGACGAAGTAAGTGGATAAACAAATACAGTTAGTATATGAAAGGGGTGAAGAATAAAAAAGGAGTAGGGAAAAAATCTCAAAGATAAAGTTATTAACTAAGTATTCCCTGGCCAAGGGAGAGATAAAGGATGCACAAACTTCGTCTGGATACAAAAACTAGGATTATTAGCTCGAATTCCTACAGCTTCTGCTATGTGTAAAAGATGAGTTCGAATATCTTTTGAAAGATGAAATGGTGAAAGCAATGTTCTTATCTACCAAGTGACCACTATCAACGAGGTGAGATAAAACCGAGCTTCTGATGAATTTTATCTGTCCCTTTCCTAACCATCAAAGCAGATGCTCAGTAACACGTTTCTTAAGTTCTCTAGTAGTAAGCTCTATATAGCTTTCTCCACAGAAGCAGCTTAACTTGAAAATACACATAGAAATGGCAAAACTAGATACCTGATCTTTTGTTTGTGCAACAACAATTGGTTGAGTGAAAAATGACAGACAGAGTTGTGCGGCGTAGAAAGCTCTCTTAATATATTACAGTAAAACTTGAAGAGGATCTAACTGAAAACACAATTGTTCGCTTATATGTCTTGTTCTAATAAAAAGAAGGATTAAAAGCGCCATGCTAATCGCCTACCCAGATGAAAAGCTAGTACAGTATCCTCAATGACTCAGTGAAAGTGTGCAAGATACTAGATATTTGTACCTTCAAATGTGTTTACCAATTAACATACACATGTGGAAGATAGATTTAAAGAACATAGGGAAGATTATCTACCGAAATTCTTGAGTGTGTCCCTAAGGAAATTTAGCCTTACGACATATACATACAACAACCACCCCATATATGGACACAAAAGATGCACTTAGCATACCAAAAGCCTTTGCTGTTGTCAACAAACAGAAGACATCAGATTAACTGAGATGTGCTGAAACCAGTTGTCAAGCGAACATCACTTAACTACTTTTGCACTCAAAAAGAAACAGTAGTAGATTTCTCACCACCTAGGTAGTAAATGAATCACTTTATTCGAAGAAAATCATTACCTTTTTCGAACTCCTTTAAACTTGCATTTCCCTTCTTCGAAAATCCTCTTTAATTCTCAAATTTAGCATGAGTTTGGTGAAAAGTGTCGTTTTTACTACATTTCACTAATCCTAATCACCTATCAACTTTGTACACAGCTTTTTGTGACCGACAAAATCAACAGAACCTCGCATACATGTCCATCCACTCAAATTGCAAAACTCCACAGTAGTATACAAAGAATGGGTGAATAGAATAAGAGTGATATCAAAGTAGACAAAGATGTGTGAAAGAATAAGCAATTTGAAGACAGAGGTTATTGCGAATATTCAGGCTTTAGAAGACATCATTGAGTGAATACATCTGCGCCACTACAACCGATTTTCAGACATATCACCGAGAGTTCTCATTCACTGATTCCTATTGTCTCAGGGACCCCAGTTAGGTAGACTAAATTCCCCTGTGCGCTCCAGACCAACAGTCAGGGACATCATGGACTGCTGCTGCGTCTTGGTCTGGCACCCTGAACCCCCTTCCAACCTAATTCAACTTCTTCTAGCATGGTACATCGAGGTAGGCGGTGGCTCGGCATATTCACTATATGTCCAACCCATCTCAGTCAACCAATGTAACCGCTTCTAACGGTGTCGAAATTTATCTCATCCATTCCAGAACATTTATATCCTCTCCTTATAAATGTGTGCTTAATCTGAATGGATTTATGTGTATAAGACCTTCATCATGGTGTCTCTTATTCTGTCAATCTGTTTGAACTAATATTACAAGATTATACATTTGTTTATTGGCTAGTCAATTTTTAATAACCTGTTAACAAAATACCCATAATAATAAGTAATCTCCAACACACAACTGTTAAGATGATTCCGTAAGAAAATAACTTCTCCGTTTTCATCGGATTCAGGCTGTGTAAGTATTATAACCTTTATCATGTAGTTCGGTAGCTGGGCATATATTTGCCCACTATACCAAAGCATGAGCCATCTCAGGTTACCAAGGTCGAAACAAGTAAACAGATTACTATGTAAGCCTATATCCAATGGTTAGTGCATGAATGAGACAATACACGAACTACAGGTCATAGTGATAAGGTTCCATTCGGTTTGAGAAAATTAACGGTAACCATAACAACAAGTATGTTTGCAAAACATAGACGCCATACATTATATTCTACATTTATAAGTGTTAAGCACAATTAATTTCTTATAACAAGTCTAAAATTATATTATTTAAAAATAATAAAGTGAAAATACCCTCTAATTTCACTATACACTGCAACATCCACCACATATGTTGGTAGCAAATGAAAAAGTATGAGTAGACCAGCTTGAGTAAATGACTGACGGATTATGATAATTTCAATTACACCAGGCAAAACAGCCCAATATGTACCGATAATTGGAACAGCACCAAGTAGAGCAGCCAAAACTGAAAAGCAAAATAAGAAAATATTCATGTATGAACTTCATCAGTTAATCAGGTACTTACATGGTTTACTTATGATTAAAACGTGTATTATTAACAGTGGTAACTGCCTGTAAGTAGGTATAAAAATATTTTTAGAAGTAATGTCACATTGACAATAATTTCTCACTTAACTCTGAAGTGTATCCCGACTAAATACAAGCCCGAAAAAAACTCATCTAACCACTACTGGCAGCAAACGAAAAACGAGCGACTTTAAAGGCCACTCCAACAACTACTGAGATCACCAATTAGGCTTCTACATTTTATGAAAAACTACCTTTCTAGACGAAATACCGAAACTTGGTTGCAATCTACCGGCAGTTGCCAGGGTGACCTTTAAAGTCGACCATGAAAAGCGGACGTCTTTAAAGGCCACCCTAGCAACGATCCCAGTGACTAATCACGTTTCTTCATTTCGGTTGGAAAGATAGATTCGCATGAAATACAGAAGTCTGATTGGTCACTTCAGTTGCTGCTAGGGCGGTCTTTAAAGATCCTCATGAAAAGCATGCAGACAATATTTGTAGCAATGCACTGGTACGGTAGGACCAAGTACAGCAGCAGTACACATATTGACGTGCAGATAAGACATCTTTCCATCGTAAACATTACCTATTCAGTATTTCTACATATGATGTAAGAGTGACTTCAATGGCTATCCTAGTAACTGCTGAAATAACCAATTACACTTTTTTTTATTTTATAGAAAACTAACATCGTAGACGAAATACGGAAAACCGATTGATTATTTCAGCAGTTACTAAGGTAACCTTTAAAGCCATTCAAAATATTGTGCACCCATCAGGATGCCACAGTTACCACGGCGATTTCCGAATAAATTTAATAGTCTTACAAAAAATTATTTTTCGTAGGATTTAAATACCACCTCGAAAAAACCAAATACTCCCTTTCAACACATTTCAACATGCATTATTTACATAAACCTGAATTTGCATATTCACAAACATACACCACAGGCATTTGGAAACCAATCAGAAAAAATATATCCTACACAAGCTTCAAAACTTCGCCTGATTAACTAGTCAACTAGTTACTAGCCAGTCCTAAGCCCGGGTAAAGAGGAAAGGTTGGGCAAACGGCCAACCACCCCACCCCCGAAAACCAATCCAACCACTGAAGAAACTTCACAGCACAAACTAAATATCAAAAATAATAACAAAATTATTCCTCGCTGGAATCAGAGACACCAAATGACACCGGTCGGTGAAAGCCTAAGGGAAGCCAATCAGCCGGGTCCATGTATCTTCTCGCCCTCCATGAAAGCGAAAGTAAACGTGGCGACATGGAATGTAAGCACCATGTATGAACCCACCAAGGCAGCTCAGATTGCAAAACAAATGAAAAGGCATCACATTGAAGTGCTTGGAATTTGCGAAAGCAGATGAAATGGGAGTGAACTCTTCAAACTGTCAACTGGAGAATCAATAATATACTCCGATATTGTCACCCAAACAACACGATAACCATGAGCACACTCAGTTTCGTATTGGCTATCATGATGTCCCCAACAACATCCAAGGCTCCTTCTCATACCGTGGAAACCAATCTCCTCCTGCAGGATCATAACAGCAAGGTTCAACTCAAAAGTAAGGAAAGTCACAATCACACAATGCTACACTGTGCACCTACAAATAATGCAGATCAGGAAGAGAAGAAGGAGGAATTCTACAGACAACTTCAATAAACACTGGACAAGACCCCACCACAGATTGCGACATCAAAATTTTATTGAGTGGGACGACATGAATGCCAAACCGGGAGCCGAAAACACAGGAAGAAAACTAACCATGCCCCGAGAAGCGCTCGGCGAAGTGATGAACGACAATGGAGAATTGTTTGCACAATTCTGTGCATTCAACGATTTGCTGATTGGAGGTGTGTTCAAGTGTGTTCAAGCACAAGCATATACACAAAGCAAGAGATATGAATTTCACCAGACACATTAAACATCAGATAGACTTTATCTCAATCTCAACAAAGTCGAGACGCAGCCGACTTGACACAACGTCAAGAAGAGGAGCACATGTAGGCTCACACCACTCACTGTCTAGTCCAACGAACCTACCTTCCAAATCAAGTTAAAAGCCTTCAAGGAAGCTGGTGATAGACCACAGTTCAAGTACAACACCCAGAAACTCAAAGACGAAACTACAAAGCACATATTCACGTCAGCCATCAAGACAAAATGGGAGATATCGAGCAACATCCCTGAAGAAACCTATGCGGATGAACAATGGAACTCTCTGAAAGCTATATGGAAGGAAACCTGCACAACCGTATCAGGAAGGAAGAAGAAAGAAGATAAGGAAGGAATGGATCTCGACGGACACATGCAAGCTGATAGAGGAGGGAGAGGAATATAGTGATGGTGAAGCAGAACACAAACCAGTGCAAGGATGCACAACGACCATAAGAGGAATTGAGTACAATCTATAAGACACTACACTGGACAAAGAAGTCAAGAACAGTGCACGCAAAGACAAAAGACACTTCTACGAAACACTGGCAAGTGAAGCAGAACACGCTGCAGACTGATGGTAGGAGAGACAGAGACCTGACAACATTGTATCAAATAACCAGGTTACTTACCACCCGGGAAGAGATCAACACAGATGAAACTAATAAAAGATGATGAAGGAAATTTAATTACCAAAGAAGAGAAACAAAGGAAACGATGGGCTGACCACTTCAAAAAGCCTTGAATCCACCACCACCTGCACTTCGTCCAGAAATGCCACCCACAGCCCAGCCACAGAACTACAAGTGAACATAAATCCTCCAACAAAAGTGGAAATCCTGAACGCCATAAATCTACTGAAATGCGGGAAAAGCAGCAGGACCAGGTGGAATCCAGCCACAAGCACTGAAAACAGACGCAGAAACAACAGCGGACAGACTCACACCACACCACTATTGCAGAAGGTCTCGAAGGAAGGGAAAGTACCTGCAGATCAGAAGAAGGGTTACCTTGTCAAACTCCCGAAGAAGGGCAACCTAGGTCTTAGCAAGAACTGGCGCGGAATCACGATCCTGTCCACCCAAAGCAAACAAAATATTAAGCCGCATCATCTTCGAGAGACTAAACGATGCACTGGATTCAAAACTACCACCAAAACAGGCTGGCTGGATTCAGGTAGTACAAATCATGTGCCGACCAAATTGCTACGCTTCCCATCATCATAGAACAGAGTATATACAATGGCAGTCAACTCACCTCAACCTCAACTTCATCGACTTTGAGAAGGACTTTGACAGCGTCGACCGACAAGTAATTTGGCAGGCAGTTGTTTCAACACTACGGAATACCACAAACCTTTATCAACCTCATTCAACAACTAAATGAAGGCGCCACATGCCAACCAAGTAATTCACAATGGGAAGCTCAGTGATCCTTTTCAAGTAAAGGCACGAGTGAAACAAGGCTATCTACTATCACCCATGATATTCTTGATTGTGGTCGACTGCATCATGCAACACACAGTGAGGAGTGAGAAGAGGGGGATACAATGGCTGCACCGCGGAAAACACCCCAGAACAAGATTTGGATTTCGCCAATGATGACTTGTGTCTGATGTCACACAAACTTGAAGATCTACAGGCGAAAACTAACAAGTTGGCAGAAGAGGCAGCCAAGGAAGACGGGACTTCAAGCGAATACAGAGAAAACAGAGGTGATGATGATACACCACCAACAACAACAACAACAACAACAAACTCCAATCACCATCAATGGGAGAAACTTAAGGGAAGTAGCCTCTTTCACCTACCTAGGCAGGGCAGCACTGTTTCAACTACAGGCGGCAATGACGAGGATGTCAAAGTCAGAATCGGAAAAACAACAAGACAGGCGTTCATCAGCCTGAAACCAGTGTGGAGATCTACTGCACTCCACTCCACTCCACTCCACTCCACTCCACTCCACTCCACTCCACTCCACTCCACTCAGCATAAAGCGTGAACAACATCCGGATTTTCAACACCAACGTAAAGTCAGTGATGGTTCAAAGACTTGGCGCGTCACGAAAGGCATTTCCAACAAACTACAGACATTCATCAACAAATGCCCACACTGGCTCGTAATGAAGATCAGATGACCAGAAAGAATAAGCAACAAGGAACTCACTCTGGCTGGCAACAAATCAACCAAGAACCTATCACTCAACAAATATACAGAAGGAAGTGGAGATGGATTGGACGGGGCATACACTGAGAAGGCCAACTGGGGACATCATGCGTCAGGCCAGGCCGTCGATTGGAACCCCGATGGGAAGCGACGAGTTGGGCGTCCCAGTTGACGGTGACATGGAGAAGATCGTGCGAGGAGGGAATGAGAGCTTGTGGGCTGTCGTGGAGCCAGGTTCAAAAGATTTCAGAGAACAGAGTTCACTGGAAACGTGCTACTGAAGCCCTATGTTCCATTAGGAACCCAAAGGACAAATAATGATAATAACACACAGGCTTCATAAACATAGTAAAACAACCGTGAATACAGTTCTAAAGAGTGAATTTATTGTGAATCACATATGAATATGGAAAGACTATCTATATGATAACCTTAACTACAACATCCTAATATTGCATTTATATGTTCTGAATTTGTGATAAGGACTGCATTTAATGTCTAAGTAGTGTTCACACAAACATGATACCAACTTAGGATACCACTAGAAGTGTAAAATTTAAGCACTATGGTAGAATGTAATTTAATATTCAATTTGTTTATTCAACATAGAAAATAGTGACAGTATTATTTACTGGAATACGTTTCGAGTAAAAAATATTATTTACAACCATATCAAAGTACAGTACAAACATACGTAACCGTGGTTGAAAATTCTAACTGCTAGGCTTTTAATATCCTATTGCGTTGAACTGAAATCCTGGTAAAAAACAGTACACATAATCTCACTATCTTGGATCATCTTCATTCCATAACCATATATACCAATGTATAAATATACAAAACAGAAAAATACAACTTACCAGATGGAATGACCACAAGATCTAAACCGAATATAGTATGCGTGAGTGATGTATACAAACCGTAGAATACAGCCAATTTCAATGTTGCAACAAATACTCCACTAATAGCTAATTCGACAATCGAGTAGAAATGTGTAATCAAAGAGTTTGTTTTAGATGAAGTTGGTGTTAACGAAGTGATAAAAGCAACAGGAAGGTAGCAAGATCCACTTGCAGCCAATACATAGTAGAGAACTGTAAGAAAAATCAGCTGAAACGGCAAATGAAGAATTTTCAATACTAAGCACTTTCAATCAGGAAAAATAAAAAGATTTTTATTGCCACCCGTCAGCTATATATAATACATTCTTGTCCCCCGGAAAAGTTACGCCCATTCTACGAAAAGAAATTCTATAATTATGCTACGAAAGTTTAAATAACTGAAAGTTTGCTTGCTGAAATCCAGTTGAACTATGAAGAAGCTTCAATCACATCTTATACATAAATGATGGAGTACATTGTAACTCAGGTGGACGACTTTGATTTTGTCGCGTTCTCATCATCATCTATCAAAATAGGACCAGACATTACTACGCAACAGTTCGAGTTGCCATAGCTTATATCACCAGATCAAGTAAAAAGGCAGTGAGGTGCAAGATGAAGATAAGAAAATGCAGTCAACAGAAATATAAAGTACGAAAAGAGAGAAAGGAAGAATGAGAAAATGATGAGATTCGGTAAAGCATTAAGATGAAGACAATATGTATATACATCTGCGCCATTGACATCGGTTCTGAGGCATATCACCTAGAGTCTCCAACCACTGGTTCCTCTTGTCCCGCGGACCCCAACCACCCAGTCTGCATCGCCCCACCTGGCTCAAACCAACAGTCAAACACTTCATACATTGATACCATGTTTTAGTGTGGCCTCGAGCCTTTTCCCAGCCTGAACCTACTTCGGTTAACATTGTATGACAAGGCAGTCGACGACTGGGCATACGTAGTACGTGTCCTAACCACCTCAGTCGATGAAGGTTCATAACCACGTTAACTGACTTATCTCTTTTCCCTAAAGCTCTACACCCGACTTCTGCGTTATTCACTTGGTGAGACCACGGAATACAGCCTATACTACGAAGGCAACGGTGGTCAAACACCTGAAGCCTTCTCATGTCTTCCACCTTCAATGGCCATGTTTCACAGCCATACAGGAAAACAGAGCGGACCGCTGTGCAGTGCACTTAATAATGAAGCTCTCATTGTCGTTCTAGACAACATCATCAGTACTAACTTCAATATGAAATGAGCAACCAAGATTTCTCCATGAGTGATTATATATATATATATATATATATATATATATATATAAAGCTTTTAGTATAGGATTCTAAGCGTCTGGGTCTTGGTTTATTTGCTGTTAAATGGTCTACAATTATTATTGTTAAGTGAACACACTGCGTAACTATATAAAATTTCATTTAATACTTAGTAAATCCCATTTGAAAATGATTTTCGATTATCTAAACAAAAGTAAATAAAAATGAATAAATATGAACCGGTGAATCAAAAACGCTATGGAATTGGTTTGTAAATAAACAACTTACAAAGGCAATAATAAAATTGACTGCAACATGCCCACCACTCATGATTAACGAAATTACAGTAGTAATTAAATGTGCTATCAAATTTAGATTACTACGCATTAAACCCCATAATGATTCTGTGATTGTTGCCAATGTACCCAAATTCTGTTTTATAATGACAAACAGCTACATAAAGGAGAAAAATAAAAAATACACTTACATATAAAATAAACATATTACCATCATTGTAAATATAGTAATAAAATAATCATCCTCACTATCAAACATTATAGATGAGATATAAGTTTAGGTGTTAACGGAAATCCTGAAGAATTGAATGTATATTCAATCGTGGAAAAACACAATTAACATAAACTCCAATATCACGAGCCGATATTTCTGTGTATCTGGTGCGTTAAAACCTAGAATAAGTGTAAGTATCAGGGATTTTTCGCAGAGGGAAACAGCTAGAATGAACAGTATTTTATCCACAAGGTTGAAATTATTGTTTAATTTGTTATAACAACTTGTTACGTACCAGTTATGTATTTAGTCAATTTCTAATACAACTAAATACTACTAACTTTCTGATTGTAAGTACCGCTAATTAGTATTTTCACTTTATCTTCGAGATATACAAAGTTGTATGAAGACTTGATTTTGCGCTTAAACTAAAATAGTTGTTAGATGACTGAGTAACTAATCCACTAAATCACTTCTATTCATATAGGTTAGAGGGAGAGGTGAAGAATTTAGATGGTAACTAGCATGTATTAATCTTTAGCTTCAGCCTTCATTAAAAAATTTAGAGAAATTAACTCAGAGGGATGAATAGACATTGCAGAAGCATACACCACACAGGACTACACCTAAATGTAGTTACGGTAGTGATGTGAATTCACATGACTATAACTAAATATCATTGAAAAAAGTAGCAGTTTAGTAAAACTTCAACAATTTAAAAAGTAATAGTAGTAGCAAGTAGTATTCATGAAGAAGTACCTGTCATATTCATGACTAAACAGTACATATGTTTGAAGTCACTTCATATTCTTTATAAATAAAAGCAATAAATAAGTAAAATGATTTGGTTTATGTGTTTAATTTATAGACGATGATATGCGCCTGTAAAAAATAGTCGGATTGTTGCAAAATTCACGTCTAATGAGTTGTGAAATAAATGGTAGTCATTGTCTACCTCGCATCGTCAACGTGCATAGAAATTCTTTTTGGGTAGATTTCATTGATGATTTGATTTTTGTTCATAAACACACTCGAATTACATTAAAGCGGCCTGCTAACACTTCTGGTCTACCAAACTTTTCCATCATTTATATCGCATCAAGTTTACTCTATTTTGATTTGTTTTAATTGTCTAATTGAGATTGAATGGTATCAAATACCCAAGCCAACTTTTAAAAAGTTATCAACCTATCACTATGAATTTAACAAATATAGTAAAGAAATACATCATGGTAGATGGCAGTACGCTTTAAAGCGAACAAAACTACACCAAATGACACTATCCTGAAATTACTCAGCTCGAACTGCAGAACTCTACTGCGTAAGGTGAACTGTTTATAATGTCTCCTACGTTATAATGTTTGTCGTAATGCTAATGTAATAACGTTACAAGGAACTTGGTTGCGCAACTTATATGCTGATAATCTAGTCTCTTTAAATGGTTTCAGAATGCTCCCATAATGTGTGGTTGTTCACTGTCTATTGCCTAGGGTCGTGACTTCAGCTTCTTGTGCTCTCTTAGTCACAGTAGCCTAGTCAGTTTTTCAACCCGTTTCGATGCCAAATTAGACTTGGTCTTTGTTAGTGAACCTTGTATATATTAAACTCAAAAACGTGTACCACTGCTGAGCTCAGATCACTGTATTATACGTGTTTCTACAAAAATATATTGCAAACCGCAGAAAAAACACTATTACGTATGTAAGAAGACTATACACAGGAGCTTTACATATGATAATACACATAAGACCAGGTGCATGTTACAGAACACAGAACGGGAAATATTTGAAAATGATGTACTGGCTGAAACAATCGATGCTGTTACATATCTTAAATTTTACCTTGATATTTGCTGGTCAGTTGAAATAATTTTCCTAAGGTTTAATAGACGTTCTTCTCCACAATTAAAGATACTGAGAAGAGAAAACGAAAAACTGTACAAACCGAAGGATAGTACTGATCATGTCTGGAATAAAACAACTAGATTTAATGTAAAACCAGAAGATCAAGACATGTAGAATCTATCCTAGTATATCGAGACTTTTTAATGATCTTACTGGCACGAGAAAACTAAAACTTGACCCTACGAAAACGAGTGCGCACTGAACCAGTCATTCATATGTAAAACTGCTAATGTTATTTTATCTAGTTCTTCATATAAAAGGCAGTTTTCCTAAAATCAATGAAAGAGATACGTTCAAATACCTAAAACCAGTAAAACCTTCTCAAAGTCTCATACCAGATGGCATATCACATATTCCATTTAGAAAATGTGTTGATATTCTATTTCATCTACTCACGAACATTTTCAATGAGTCCTTTGCCAAACATGACGTACAAACCGCCTGGAAGAAAATTGAAGTAGATCCAGTACCTCTGAAGTAGAAGTGAAATTCCGATCGATTGCAATAACTTCACCATTCTTAAAAACAATCGGAAAACTGTTATTTCGTGTCCTTGGACTTTCTTTAGAGGCTTTGAGATCCAAATTAATTTACCTACAAGCCCAGAGGAAGTACTTTAGATGCTGCAGTTGTTTTACATCATAATATCTGCCTTCTTAGATTTACTTCTGTCTTTCATTCTATCTCTAAACCCCTTTTATTAGACAAGCTTACAAGAACTCACATCGAGTCCTAGATTGCAAACTGGCTTCATTCTTGTTTGTCTGAGTGAAGATAGTACTCTTCATACGCATGGAAGCGCTCTACCTAGCTACTTAGCGAAGCCGGTATCCTACAAAATGCTGTTCTCTCCTTTTCTTTTCTCATTCTTTTTGCACCATCTACTCAACTCAAGTAAAGTTAACTTCCTTAAGTACGTAGATAATCTAACAGTGTCCGTGCTATTCATCTTTCTTCATTGTTCTCTTTTAAATAACTTCTTAACCGAAATCGGTCACTGTTCTTCCCTAAATAGCCACACACTCAATCCCTCAAAAAGATAGATGGTTGATTTTACCTTCAGATGTGAACAGGACCTATATAAACCGATCTCGTCTAATAGATGCCTCTATTGTAGGGAATGTATCAGGTTTGATTTATCTTGGCTGATACTTCTCTTCTAATCTACCTTTGTCCCCTCATATCTTACTGATGTCCAGGATAATCCGCCGTTTGACATCAGACATACGGAAACTCAGACCGTGTGGCATAACTCAAACTCGATTCTCACGCCTGGTAAACTACTTAACTAGTTACTAGCCAGTCCTAAGCCCGGGTAAAGAGGAAAGGTTGGGCAAACGGCCAACCACCCCACCCCCGAAAACCAATCCAACCACTGAAGAAACTTCACAGCACAAACTAAATATCAAAAATAATAACAAAATTATTCCTCGCTGGAATCAGAGACACCAAATGACACCGGTCGGTGAAAGCCTAAGGGAAGCCAATCAGCCGGGTCCATGTATCTTCTCGCCCTCCATGAAAGCGAAAGTAAACGTGGCGACATGGAATGTAAGCACCATGTATGAACCCACCAAGGCAGCTCAGATTGCAAAACAAATGAAAAGGCATCACATTGAAGTGCTTGGAATTTGCGAAAGCAGATGAAATGGGAGTGAACTCTTCAAACTGTCAACTGGAGAATCAATAATATACTCCGATATTGTCACCCAAACAACACGATAACCATGAGCACACTCAGTTTCGTATTGGCTATCATGATGTCCCCAACAACATCCAAGGCTCCTTCTCATACCGTGGAAACCAATCTCCTCCTGCAGGATCATAACAGCAAGGTTCAACTCAAAAGTAAGGAAAGTCACAATCACACAATGCTACACTGTGCACCTACAAATAATGCAGATCAGGAAGAGAAGAAGGAGGAATTCTACAGACAACTTCAATAAACACTGGACAAGACCCCACCACAGATTGCGACATCAAAATTTTATTGAGTGGGACGACATGAATGCCAAACCGGGAGCCGAAAACACAGGAAGAAAACTAACCATGCCCCGAGAAGCGCTCGGCGAAGTGATGAACGACAATGGAGAATTGTTTGCACAATTCTGTGCATTCAACGATTTGCTGATTGGAGGTGTGTTCAAGTGTGTTCAAGCACAAGCATATACACAAAGCAAGAGATATGAATTTCACCAGACACATTAAACATCAGATAGACTTTATCTCAATCTCAACAAAGTCGAGACGCAGCCGACTTGACACAACGTCAAGAAGAGGAGCACATGTAGGCTCACACCACTCACTGTCTAGTCCAACGAACCTACCTTCCAAATCAAGTTAAAAGCCTTCAAGGAAGCTGGTGATAGACCACAGTTCAAGTACAACACCCAGAAACTCAAAGACGAAACTACAAAGCACATATTCACGTCAGCCATCAAGACAAAATGGGAGATATCGAGCAACATCCCTGAAGAAACCTATGCGGATGAACAATGGAACTCTCTGAAAGCTATATGGAAGGAAACCTGCACAACCGTATCAGGAAGGAAGAAGAAAGAAGATAAGGAAGGAATGGATCTCGACGGACACATGCAAGCTGATAGAGGAGGAGAGGAATATAGTGATGGTGAAGCAGAACACAAACCAGTGCAAGGATGCACAACGACCATAAGAGGAATTGAGTACAATCTATAAGACACTACACTGGACAAAGAAGTCAAGAACAGTGCACGCAAAGACAAAAGACACTTCTACGAAACACTGGCAAGTGAAGCAGAACACGCTGCAGACTGATGGTAGGAGAGACAGAGACCTGACAACATTGTATCAAATAACCAGGTTACTTACCACCCGGGAAGAGATCAACACAGATGAAACTAATAAAAGATGATGAAGGAAATTTAATTACCAAAGAAGAGAAACAAAGGAAACGATGGGCTGACCACTTCAAAAAGCCTTGAATCCACCACCACCTGCACTTCGTCCAGAAATGCCACCCACAGCCCAGCCACAGAACTACAAGTGAACATAAATCCTCCAACAAAAGTGGAAATCCTGAACGCCATAAATCTACTGAAATGCGGGAAAAGCAGCAGGACCAGGTGGAATCCAGCCACAAGCACTGAAAACAGACGCAGAAACAACAGCGGACAGACTCACACCACACCACTATTGCAGAAGGTCTCGAAGGAAGGGAAAGTACCTGCAGATCAGAAGAAGGGTTACCTTGTCAAACTCCCGAAGAAGGGCAACCTAGGTCTTAGCAAGAACTGGCGCGGAATCACGATCCTGTCCACCCAAAGCAAACAAAATATTAAGCCGCATCATCTTCGAGAGACTAAACGATGCACTGGATTCAAAACTACCACCAAAACAGGCTGGCTGGATTCAGGTAGTACAAATCATGTGCCGACCAAATTGCTACGCTTCCCATCATCATAGAACAGAGTATATACAATGGCAGTCAACTCACCTCAACCTCAACTTCATCGACTTTGAGAAGGACTTTGACAGCGTCGACCGACAAGTAATTTGGCAGGCAGTTGTTTCAACACTACGGAATACCACAAACCTTTATCAACCTCATTCAACAACTAAATGAAGGCGCCACATGCCAACCAAGTAATTCACAATGGGAAGCTCAGTGATCCTTTTCAAGTAAAGGCACGAGTGAAACAAGGCTATCTACTATCACCCATGATATTCTTGATTGTGGTCGACTGCATCATGCAACACACAGTGAGGAGTGAGAAGAGGGGGATACAATGGCTGCACCGCGGAAAACACCCCAGAACAAGATTTGGATTTCGCCAATGATGACTTGTGTCTGATGTCACACAAACTTGAAGATCTACAGGCGAAAACTAACAAGTTGGCAGAAGAGGCAGCCAAGGAAGACGGGACTTCAAGCGAATACAGAGAAAACAGAGGTGATGATGATACACCACCACCACCAACAACAACAACAACAAACTCCAATCACCATCAATGGGAGAAACTTAAGGGAAGTAGCCTCTTTCACCTACCTAGGCAGGGCAGCACTGTTTCAACTACAGGCGGCAATGACGAGGATGTCAAAGTCAGAATCGGAAAAACAACAAGACAGGCGTTCATCAGCCTGAAACCAGTGTGGAGATCTACTGCACTCCACTCCACTCCACTCCACTCCACTCCACTCCACTCCACTCCACTCCACTCAGCATAAAGCGTGAACAACATCCGGATTTTCAACACCAACGTAAAGTCAGTGATGGTTCAAAGACTTGGCGCGTCACGAAAGGCATTTCCAACAAACTACAGACATTCATCAACAAATGCCCACACTGGCTCGTAATGAAGATCAGATGACCAGAAAGAATAAGCAACAAGGAACTCACTCTGGCTGGCAACGAATCAACCAAGAACCTATCACTCAACAAATATACAGAAGGAAGTGGAGATGGATTGGACGGGGCATACACTGAGAAGGCCAACTGGGGACATCATGCGTCAGGCCAGGCCGTCGATTGGAACCCCGATGGGAAGCGACGAGTTGGGCGTCCCAGTTGACGGTGACATGGAGAAGATCGTGCGAGGAGGGAATGAGAGCTTGTGGGCTGTCGTGGAGCCAGGTTCAAAAGATTTCAGAGAACAGAGTTCACTGGAAACGTGCTACTGAAGCCCTATGTTCCATTAGGAACCCAAGGGACAAATAATGAATGATAATAATAATTCCTATGTTTTGGCTATACTTTCTCATTGTTCCCCCTCATTCTTTCCTGGACTCGGGAAGAAAGACTATGCCACATTCCGTAAGATTTTCAAGGCTGTTACTGAAGTACTTGGTACACTAGTACTAACCGTCCTGATAGATGTGGTTATGGATAGGCATCTGAACTCTGGTTGACAGCTGGCTACAAATATTTAACCCGATGACAAGCATCCTTTGCATCCACACCTCTCTCAATGTCTGTCCTCTGGCAGGACAACAAGCGAATATTTTTAACTTTATGCATGCATAACTACATAGAAAAATTCAATCATGCCACCTTATTCAGCTTGTGTACTGAGTGAATAAAATCATGTTAGACACAGTCTTTTCAATCAACTTTGCAACAGCGAACAGTTATCATGAGCCTGAAGCCACTAAACATTTCAACGACCTTATCAGTCGTCATTGTGTGTGATAAACAGCACCACTGTTAATATCCAATTGCAAAATAAATGTTGTACAACGACTAAACTTATATAATATCACATGCTGAGAATTCTACACTGTTAGCAAAATTATGGTTTGGAGCAAAGCAAATATATTATTATTATTATTATTATTATTATTATTATTATTATTATTATTGATTACACCTAATGTATTAGACTAATTCATCCAGGCGATGAAATGAATAAGGTTAAATACTGTTTTGCGAATAGCATAGGAAATGAAAAATGCTTCTTCAACTCATGTTTATATGCCACTGCTTTCACTCATATGTCCTACAATAGGCCAATCATGTAGTTCCATCACAGGTTAGGTCATCAACGACAGCTACGAGAACCGTAGTGAATTAAAGCTTTGAAATCCTCTTTACTTACAAAGACTTAAACGGCTATTTAGTATTAATGATGGATAGTAGCTAGTAGTGGAATTCAGGTAGCCCGTTTCGTCCAATTTGGGACTCATCAGTTGGATGTATCTGCCTCCCAGGGAGCGATGTTGTTCGTACTAGGACTCGAACTCGAGGCCGACCCCTTCAAACGCCAAAGCGTTAACAACTAGACCACTAACCCACGATACCCACTTCTTATGCCGCAGGTATAGTTCTAATGTCGTTACTTGCATTACCCGTCGTTAAGTGGACCGAAATGATCGGTTTATACTGGCAACTGCGCTGATGCCTTGATATTACCTGTATTTCAATTACATGTCAATGATGGATAGTGGCTTGCAGGGGAATCCAGGACGCAAGTAACGACATTAGAACTATACCCGTCACACAATAAGTTGCCATCGTGGCTCGGTGGTCTAGTGGATAACGCTCTGGCGTTTGAAGTTATCAGTCGTGAGTTCGAGTCATAGTGAGAACAACATGGCCCACTGGGAGGCAGGTACATCCAGCTGAAAAGTCCCAAATTGGACAAAACGCGTATTCTGGATTCTATTGCTAGCCACTATCCATCATTAATCTGCAATTGAAACACGGGCAATATCGAGGCACCCGCGAAGGAGTCTATAGGCCAATAGAGACGGATCAATTCGGTCCACTTAACAATGGGATAACATTAGCTACGTAGTATAATTAGTCTTTTAATTATAGATATGGCTTATACACAAGTGAGTGAACTTACAGGTGACCTCTGAGTTGTAATTACCCTACATCTAATCGAGCTTCATGTTACAAGCGAGAATAAAGTTTATATGAAAGCTTAGAATGTTCATTCATCGCCCTGCACTCATATCAGATGTTTAGTTCATGAGTACTCCCTAATCACCATCGAATAAATATACGAAAGTGATCTCACAATAATTACTCGATAAAACATTTTGTATATGAAACACAAAACAAAATTAAAACCTATTTGCCAGTCATTAATTAACAGCAACATAAATTCAATGACTAGTAAGTATAGCACGATGGCACAATATACACAGATGGAGGAAAACAATGTCTGTAGTATTTCACATGGATATAAGTAGAATAATCATATGACTTTAATAGGTGCAATATGTTTACAAAACACCTGATGATGGAAGGTCATCTACAGTTCCATCTCATTTCAATTAGTTTTGAATAAAACTAGCATTCAAAATAAAACTGGTTAAAAAAAGATACGCTCATGAGAAAAAAATTTTCTTCTTCCAAGCCTACGTCTGCAAACCATGTAAACGGGGCGAGAGTAATCAAATTGGCAAATAATATTTACCCACAGCGAAGTATGACTTCACGGGAAAAAATGATGTGAAATATCTTGCTGGGAAAAAAGTTTTAAAATTGAAAGAACACTTACAGAACTCAGGGCATGACGATTGAATATCCAGGTAGTGTTAATGGAAAATCTATTTGATGATACCCTTCCTAAACCAAGAGGTACAAAAGGATTCGAATTATTACGGTTGCGACTGTTATTGGATAGGAATGCTATATCCGATTTATGGCTGGTCGACACATTCATCACTATTGCTGTATCACTAGGCTGTAAAACAGATAAACAGGGAAGGAGCATACACATATACTTCGTAGGATTTGACATAGTTTGTAAAACCATGCGGCGTCAAAATAAATAGCAGAAACGTAACAAAAAGTATCAATGTAGCAACCAGAGATCTGAATGTATAAGCGAGAAATAAGAGATTTGTCTGAATAGTAATTAAAGTCACGTTGATAGTAAATCTAACAGTATGATTCACTCCAGATAAGAGCAACACTAACGATAATCAACACTTCACCCTAGTATTTTTAGCTAGCCAAATAAATGACGCCTTTAATACTTCATCTTTTATGCAGTTGTTGATAATTTCAGTACGTAAATCAATTCGAATCTGGCACTGAAACAGTAAAAAAAGTCCATATACAATAACTCTAGTAAATTCAAAATAATTTTAGTCTTTATACTCAAAAAGACAAACAAGACAGACCAAGAAAATCAAAATAGAGTCTACCGCACAAGCGCTTCGGTTCAAGACGTCACAGTGGTATGAAAAAACAGGTGGATAAAAAGAGACTGAAATCAAAGCATACAAAGGTGTATGAGAGAATAAGCAAGTATTCAAGCTTTAGAAGACGTCAAGGAGTCAATATATCTGCGCCACTGTGAACGATTTCCAGTCATGTCAACAAGAGTCGTCAATCACTGATCCTCATCGTCTTGGGACCCCAGTCGGATGGTCTACACTTCCTTACATGACTCAGACCAACAGTTAGACTTCATGAACTGGTGTCACTTCGTCTGTCCATCCTGAGCCCTGTTCCAACCAAACTCAGATTCTCATAGTACACGTCGAGGTAAGCACTGGCTCGGCATGCGCAATATATATCCAAGACACTTTAGTCAGTAAAAGTTCACAACCTCATCAATCGACTTGCTTGTCTTGCCTAGAACCCTTCACCTGACCTCAACGCCACTTTTTACCGCTTCATATCCTCTACTTTTAGCAGTCATGTATCACAGAAGCATAACAGGACAAAACCGACTGCAGTGAAGTATACTCGTCCTTTGATAGATAGTCAGATATATCGCCGGAGTAAAAGATAACCCAAGCTGTCAAATGCCAAACGACCCTTGTGTATCTGAGCTAAAATTTCATCAGCTACTAGTTCCTTCGGGTTGATCCAACTCCCCAAGTAAGTGAAGTGGCTGACACATTCAACCACATACGATTGATAGGTGCCAAATGAATCCCGAAAATACTCAGATTTCAGTTAAACTCAGAGTACATAATATTTAGAAAATCCAATCAGTATTCTACAACACAAGTAGTCTGTTATGACAAATAATGTTTTATGTTACAGCATGTGAAATTCCAAGCTTTCATTCATTAACAGAAACTTATTGGATATCTGTTAACCCTTATAGGAACTTAGATTAATAATTCGCTAAATGAAGGTCGTGTTATAATCATGTTATCTTGATCTTTTTCTAATACTGCCTTATTTCATTTAGTGTTCTAATCTTGATTATTGAGTTTTTAATTATCATTAAATATATAGATAAGTGACCCTCAGTTTGCTTTCTTAGTTAATGAGTCACTAATAAGAGAGTTATGAGGCAAGTATATGATTTAGTTGCGCAGTGAACAAATAACAAACATTAGTACAGTAATATGCACCAACGCACTCAAGTTACAGTTACAAATCTAAGCGAAGTAAAAGTCAAATACTATGTTTCATATTGATATATAGTACACTAAATAACTAGAATATTTCCCTCATACACTCCTATGATGTCAAAGGTTATACATAAACACACTTATATTCTTTTCTCCAGCTGTTATCACAAAAAGAAATAAAAACTTATCTGATTACCTGATCTATAAAAGAATTATAAATATTCTCCCATAGATCTAAGAGTTGCTCCTTCAGTATTGCCTTTGAATTTGGATCAACTTCGAAAAGTTCATTCGTCTGCATTCAGTATGAAAGAGATAAACTGTACAAAAGAAAACTAAAATATGCGCCAACAGTACGAACAAGTGATTGGCCAGGTAAAGTGTGATGATATAATAAACAGGCAACAAGAATAAAAATGACTAAATTAGCAAGGAACAACCATTCATTCATTACATTTAACAATACACAATCTATTGCTGCTTCTTTGACGTAGTTGTCAGACTTGTATATCACAATGACCCAATGAGCTATTCGAGGTTCTACCGTCCCAGAAAGGTCTATTGGATACAGGTAAGATGGAAAACAGTTACTGTTGTAGCTAAAGTACTACACTATGATGGGGGTCGAAGGGTGAAGTCGTACCGCTTCTAGTTGGATGGTGTGTAGCAACAATAAGACGTTTCTTTTGGATGACCAGCATGCCATACTGAGGCTGTCTTCTCTGTGGTAAGGGTGGAGGGTTATAAAAGGTCAACCCCAAAAATAACGCGCCCCACTATGTCCCATAGTCTCCCGGTGCCGGCGGTATGAGTTTTCTCCATCCGGTGTTAGAACAACCAAATCACGAAACAACAGCCCACAAAAGGCTGTGTGACAGGCCTCAAGCACATGTCCCATGGACCCTGTGATCACACAAATCATTTTATCTTTCAGATACCTTAAGAAGAATAGCCTTTCATGATGTGCACAGCCGGGGAGTATCAACAGCCCACACGCTTCGAGTAGTAAACAAGACACAACCAAACATAACCTATCCCCATAAACTCTGTCTCCCCTTTGGCCTTAGCTTCCTGATACTAATATTAAGCCTCTTACGCCTTACCCAACCTCTCACTTTAAAATCATTGCCAACGATCGAAGTCATCAAAACTTTGTTCGTAGTCTCCTAAGACCCCGCCTTTGGCTTCACGTAGGAACCTTCAAAATCCGAACTCTATGCCAAATAGAACAGCAAGCATCGCTCGCTAAAACTCTGGAATTTCTAGTCACAGGCGTATGATATCTCTTTGAGACACATATATAAGATCCTAATGTGATTAGTAAATTGAACTCACCTGACCATATTGCTGAATCTCCAAAACTCGCCTTACGAGTATCAGGAGACCCAAGGGCTAGCTCTCGTGGACTCACTGGTGTAGGCATAGCATTGAGCTGTAGGGCAGAAAGTAGACTCCTCGAGTGGATAACAGTCAATAGCCGTTTATGTACTGTTCCATTGAATGGATCTGTAAGGACTAGGAAGGACTGTGAAACTGCGATGCCTATTCGTAATCTCTGCCTACGCACCCACTAACTGAACTTCGGATGATGAAAACGATGAATTCTATGAGAAGCTGCCTATTTCGCTAAAGAAAGCAAAACGTTCAGATGAAGTCATAATGTCAGGTAAATTTAACGCTCAAGTAGAGAAGCTGAGCCAACCAGAGAGGGATCTTAAAGGTATTTACAGAATCCTATCCCAATGAACCAACACCGATGATTGTCTGTTGCAATTTCGTCCCAAGAATCACTTGTTTCTGACCAGCACTAAACCTTAGGCACAAGGAGAGACATTGTCTCACACAGTGGCCGTCGACTTCAAACTAACAATGGACACAAACAGATTACATTGCCATAAACCGTCATTGGAAAGGATCGGTGGAGGATTGCCACTCTTTATGGAGTACCAGTTTGGACTCCCATCACTTTCTAGCATGGGCTCATGTTTGACTGCATCTTACTGGTCGCAGGAAACAGACAAAAGTGAATCCTGTCTATAGTCGGTTGGCAGATCAGAACGTAAAGTCTGAATTTGGGGAAAAGATAACTAAGCATTTATCTGAACATGACAGCAATCCTCATCCTGAAGAAAGCTGACATGATATTAAGTCTGGTGTAGGAACAGCGATGAAGACAGTTGGTAACCCACACCTGAAGGTTACCAAACATGACTGGATTTCCGCAATGTCATCCGAAATGACTCATGCGAGAAGACTGATTCCAGCCGGCTCTGACTGCAATAAAGAGCGAAAGTAACCCAAGCGTAAGTTGACCAAGAGTCTTCGCGTTGATCACGAACATTAGAGGTGCCAGGTAGTGTACAGGAACCAGAGGTAGTGCCATCAGACTGGTGTACTTCACTGATCATCCTAGTCTATAAGAAAGGAGAGAATTCTTCTTGTGACAACCATGGGAAAATTAGTTTGATTAATGTTGTGTCCAAGATCCCAGGCTCCATAGTTACCTGACGACTAACTGGAGCTCGAGAACGGCAAACTCACGAAAACTAGGCTGGTTTTAGACCTGGACGAGGGTGCGTGGCTGAAATATTTACCCTACGACGGGTTCTGGAACACAGACATACCTATCGGCCAACGGTCGACACCTGCCATATCTCTTGACCTGAAGACGGCATTTGACCCAGTCGACCATGGTGTTGTGGCAGTACCTGACTGTGAAGAGAGTACTGAGCAAGTATATAACGCTAATCAAAGCTCTTTACTCAAACTTCCGCAGCCACATCACGGCTTATGGAGGGTTGCCTTCAGAAATGATGACAACTAACGGTGTCTCCCAAGGATGCCGACTGTTACCGTTCCTATTTAACTTCGTTATAGACGTACTAATGGACACAATCTTAGGTAAGTCTGACTTCACAGAGAGTAACCTACTCCCTGGAGGCCATCTGACCAACTTGGAGTATGCAGACGGTATTATCCTGCTAGGTGAAGATGCTGACGCAGTGCAGAGTCTTCTGGAAATGTTGAGCAGAAATCTGTGTATGTACGTTTAGTACTTGTCAAATGCAAGATGATGCATCAGGATCAGTCTGCAAGTACTCCCAGTTTAATGATAGGGAGTGAAGTGGTTGAATATGCCAACCACACCACTTACTTGCAAAAGTTGCATCAGCCTGAACGAGCTGACCTCGGATACAGAAGGCTCGTTTGGCATTTGCCAATTTGCATCAGCTTCGGCGCCGACTAGCGAGATATCCGACTATCTATCCAAGGACAAGCTACTGCGCTGCAGTTCACTCTACCCTTTTGTAAGCCTAGACGGCTGTTAAAAGTAGAAGATATGAGGGGGATGCAGGGTTTTGATTATAAGTGTCTTTGTAGAATTGCTCGCGGTTGGTGGAATCACCATATGGGCAGTGTCGAGGTTTAGTGAAGAGTAGTAGGTAAGACAAGCAAGTCGATTGACGAGGTTGCGAACCTCATCGACTGAGAAGGCTTGGACATGTGCTGTATACTGCATACCTGGACGTGCCATGTTACGGGAATTTGGACTAGGATGTAAAAGGGTTCAGCATAGCCAGACGAAGACCTGGCACCAGTTGGTGAAGTCCCTGACTGTTGGCCTGAGCTGTGTGAGGAGATGTACACTGCCTGGTTGGAGTCCCTGAGACGATAGGAATCAGTGGTTGAGGACTCTTGGTGACATGGCTGAAAATCAGTCACAATGGTGCAGATGTATTCATTCATTGACATCTTTTTAAGTTTGAATACTCACACTAACCTTTATCTTCAAATTGTTTATTCTCTCATATATCTTTTTATACTTTGACATTAGTCATTTTCTATCCACTTGTTCTTTGTGTACTACTAGGAAGTGTGGCAACTCGAACGGATGCACCTGTGTGCGAGATTCTACGTTGATTCTGTCAGTCAGTCACATCCAATAATATGATATTTTATGGACCAAACACATATATAATAACTAAAGTGACTTCATCATCTGAATCAGGTACATATTTTTCTGTAACAAAGTTTTCCTACTGTTTACGCGAAAAGTACACGAAATATAAGCGAGATCGAGATAATTTTACTTAAGCAAACTGATGCAAGAAAGATGGTTGGTAAAATATTGCGTCGCTGAAGGATTCCAACTGAAATTTCGGATAGTTTGCGAAACAATTTTCGTTTTTAACTGAGGTCATCATCTCCTTGCCTCTGTATATGTTTATGAAGGTGGAGAATTTGTTCAAAAATCTTGCGTTAGAGAACAAGATCCCGAACCATGGAATAAAATGTCTCTAAATGTCGACTTCACTACTCTACAGGTATAAATAATTTACGACTTTGCCATCACTACTTTCTGCATTGCGTTTGGGAAACCACGTAACTAATTTGCAGCGACGGCTGTAAGACACGAGAATTAGTCAAAAGACGAAATAAATGCTTCTTTGAATAAATCCTACTAGACTGCTCTCTTTATTTTGTCCTTAATAAGTAAATTAAACATACTGGGTGATGACTGAAGGTGAGACGATTATCCGGTGGTTACTGGTTCGAATCCGGTCGCGGTCCAGATTTTCAACTCACCTTCAGTCATAACCCAGTATAAATACTAGTCTGCCAAACTACAGCTATCTCAGGTAGCCAAACCATAAAATTAAACAGCTGAGCACCATCTTAACTGAACAGTTTTCAATGGTATAAATCATATGTTGTTGCTTGTAAGTCCCCATCGTTGATTGGACCGAAGTGGTCGATCTCTACTGACATATGGGCTCTTGCGATGATGCCTCGATACTCTCTATCGTTTCAATTTGGTGGTAAAGATGGATAGTGTCCAGGACGTGTGTCCCGTCCTATTTGGAAGTCGTCAGTTAGATGTACTTGTCTCCCAGTGGGCGGTGTTTTTCCACTAAGACTAGAACACTGGAACAATTGCTTCAAACAATCCTGGGTTAGAGTTTTAGTGGGAACAACACCGCCACCTGGTAAGCAGGTACATTCAGCTGAGTCCCAAATAGGACGAGACGTGCGTCCCGGATACCGCTGCTAGCCACTATCTGTCATTACCATAGGTTAAAATTATAGCCGAACTTGATCCTAAGTATAGCATACTATAGTTATTTCATCCCCGCTGCCAATTAATTAGTTCCAATCATATTTGCTGAGTCTTAAAACTACTGAATACACAGATATCCAAGTTTGAAGGCAAAAATTAGTGAGTAAAAATACCATGATAGATTTCGGTCGAATCCAGAGTACAAAGCGTCAGAATTGCAAGTGCTGTTAGTGCCTTAATTATGATCATAAAATACTTTATATTTGTGCTAAATAAGGAACTGATAAAAAGCTTTCCTTTAAATTAAGATTCTAGGAAGTAACTCATAACACCGAACAGCTTGGGTAACTCAAAATAAGTAAACTTCATAACAGTCTAACCGTAAGGTTGATAATCATTCTACGCCTAAATGAAGCTCAACAACAAGGAAACATGACAGAGTAAGATATACTTCAAGTTTTATCTATCTAATTTCTAAAAGAGATGCGATAAACACTTACGAAAACTTAATGTACGAGAAGCATTTAGGCTTTATTGCTAAGTGTAATTCCATCATAGTCCAGTTACCAAATGTATTACATGGTGAAACAGAGATATCTATCACCCAAATCAGCTAAATGAAGTCTCTTCTGTTCTAAGCTTTTATTGACACAATGGACAAGCCATGTGTGCGTCTGAAACCACTGCCTTACCCTGGTATGCCAGCTGGATTGAAACCAAGGGGCAGATGCTAAGGACAAGCAAACCAGGACGTGAAACCAAACTATTAAAGTAATAATTGTCTCTTGGTCTTACCTATTTGAAGAAATGTGCGCTTAATGCCTGAAGTCCTCAAGGTGATAGAAATTAACGATCAGACATCCACTACGAACTTCTTATACCTACTTCTTGAATGAAGGTAGGGCTTATTTATCAAAGCATTTGGTTTTCAAATGAAGGCTTACGGATTTAAACCCTGTTCAGCCTACCAAGGTGTGAGCAGTCATGTATTATCAGTAGCCCTAACATAAAGGTGCAACTCATCACCTGTTACATAAGGATCCATGTGGCTGACGAGTCGCATTTCGATTCCGACCTTATACTTCCTTTTACTTTACCTTATTACAAAACTGTTGTTGGGTTTTCCCCTCCGTGAACGGTGTTGCGGTATGTGGACGCTTGGACCGGTTCACTAAAGTTTGCTTTGTTTATTTCTCTGATAACTGAAACCTACTGGTAATGAAGAAACGGAAATAAGAATCTTAGACAAGTATTATCAGCCGTATTATTCCATTTGTTCTCAAAGGAATTCCACTTAAGACTTACTTTTAGTGTAAAGATCAGAATAAGAACTATCTATTGACACTGCATTCTATTCTGTAAGAATCATGATTGCGAGATGGTCGCATGTTAAGTGAAACCGATTGTTGAGCATCACAATTCCGATTTATGAAATCAATCGTTTCAATTTAATGCGTTATGACAAGTCATGATCAAGTAAACTGCTAGTTAAAGGGTTACAATTGTCTCATCTCCTACTCAGTTCACTTAGTGACTCATAAATACGTATAAAGCATAGCAGGTGTAGATATGTTCAAATAATGAGGCATACAGAAAGTCGGAATCACATGAGTGCTAAAGTCGCATAGTTTTGCAGTCATCACTTTAAGCATATGATACGTGTCAATACCAGTTTTTCGCTACAGTACCAACTTAAATCACAAACAAAATCTTAACGAAGAGATGTTAGGAAAGAAATACATCAACAGCTACCACCTACGCCCACTCTACACTGAAACTGAAGATCATACCAGAAGGCCAGAAAGAATAAGCAACAAGGAAATCAATCTGGCTGGCAACGAACCAACTGACAACCCATCGCCCAACAAATATGCAGAAGAAAGTGGAGATGGATTGGATTGCACATATACTGAGAAGACTATTTGGGACATCACGCGCCAGACCAGGCCGTCGATTGGAATCCAAATGGGAAACGACGAGTTGGGCGTCCGAGGCAAGGGTGACAAGGAGATCGTGTGAGGAAGAAATGAAAGCTTCTGGACAGTCATGGAGCCAGGTTAAAAAGTCTGCAGAGAATAGAGTGAAATGGCGACGTGTTCCACTAAGAACCCAAGGGACAAATAATAATAATGATGTGATACTAGTTTAACAGTGTTCAACATGACCAAAGTAATTGTTTCACTCATCAAAAATCTATGATAACAAGAGCAGTTATTGTGTTATTCATAACACGACGAGTCGAATTATGGATAAAAACGGTTAAGTGGAAAACACAAGTCAGATTAAACTTACCCTATCAGATATCCAGCTGCGGCCAGCCTGATAAGCATTTGCGACTAAAACGCCAAGCATACCATCAACTTGTTCCTTTTTAGGAAGCCAGCTAGAACAACAAAATACATATTAATATTATTTCATCTTATAAAATGCCTAGATATTTGATTAATCTAAAAACGTTTTTCCCGACCGATAGCTGATACAACGTGGTGGACGGCTTACATATCACAGTGACACGACGACTATGCTGGTGGAACGCTTATTCTCTCAAGGTCTTATCATACCAGAAAGGTCTATTGGGTATCGATTAGACGAAAAGCAGTTACCATGTGATGTAAATTACGCACTGTGATAGGGGTCTGAAGGTGAAATCGTACTGCTGCTAGTTGGATAGGATGTGATAGCAGTAAGGTGTTTCCCTTGGATGACAAGCAGTGCCATGCTGACGCTACCTTCTCAGTGAAGGGGGTTTAGAAAAGGTCGATCCCGAAAATAGCAAACCCCACCATACACCACAGTCTGCCGGGCCGGCGGTGTTGCTTCATTTGTCGTTTCTTTTCGACCATCCGACCAAAAAACAACAAAAGTTCAAAGTAATCATACACAAAAGGCTACATGTGACAGGCCTCAAGCAGATGTCTGATGGGCTCTACCGTCACACAAATCTCTTTCAGGCACCTTAACAAGAAATAGCCTTCCACGGAGTGGGCATTCGGGAAGTGTCAATCGCCCTCACAACTCTGTCAGCACTCAAGTTTCCTCAGACTGCCATCCACCTTCCCCATCATTACCTCCTACCCTTCCTTCACATCTCTCAACTAACAACACTACATCACCTTCAATTTCTCATAACTCTGTAGCCTTCGACAACGATATGAGTCCACAGAACAGCATCCTGGTCTCCTTAAACCACGCTCCAAATTACACGTCGGGGCCTTCAATGTCCGCACCCTCCGTCAAATCGGTCAACAGACTTCGTTAGCAAAGACTCTAGCAACTCGGGCTATGGATTGGTGCTGTGTTTGTGAGACATGCATACAGGACCCAAGTGCGGTTATTCACCTGACCTCTCCTGACCAATCTGCTGAATCCACAAAATTCACCCTTCGAATTTCTGGAGATTTGATAGCTAGCTCTCACGGTCTTGCAGATGTAGGAATAGTATTAAGCATGAGGGCAGAAAACTCACTACTAGACTGGATTCCAGTTGATAGTCGCCTATGCGCTATCCGACTGAACGGCACGGTGAAAACTAAAAGGAATAGTGAGACTCGCCGTTGTCTCTTTGTAATCTCTGCTTACGCACCCACTGACTGTAGTTCGGATCAAGCGAAGGACGAGTTCTACCACAAACTGTCTAGCCTCCTCTCGAAAGCCAAACGCTCAGATGTGATGCTTGTTGCAGGTGACTTCGACGCACAGGTGGGTAGACTAAGTGAGACAGGAAGGCACTTAAGTGGCACTTTCGGAGTCCCGGCTGAATGTACAGATAACGGTGATCACCTACTACAACTATGCTCAGATAACCGCCCATTGTTAGCTAGCACAAATTTCAGACATGAAGAAAGACACTGTCTGACGTGGAGTCAACCGAGCTCAACTCAGCGACGAACACAGATAGACCACATTGCTATTAGTCATTGCTAGAGAGGATCGGTTGTAGACTGACACTCATTCTGGAGTACGTGTTTGGATGGCGATCACACGTTGGTCCGAGCGAGTATATGCCTGCGCCTCAATGGATGTAAGAAAAATTTGGCAATAAAACCACAACGAGTGCAGCTCGACAACGAAAACATCAAAGACACTTTCAATGAAAAATTGGCTGGGCAGTTATCAGAACAGAAGACTATCACTCGTGCAGAAGAAGCTTGGTGCCATCTTCAGTCTGCTGTAAAAGCAGAGCTGAAGACCCTAGCCGACTCGGGAATAGTGGCTGAAAAGAGCCAGTGGATATCAGCAGCTTCTTCCGAACTAATGGATGCACGTGAATGCATCCCTCCACGCTCTGAGTACAATGAAGAGCGAGCGCAACTTAAAAGTAGATTGAAAAAAGTCTATACAACGACTGCGAACAGTGGTGGGCAGTGAAGGCTAAAGAGATGGGAAAGGCAGCGGCGATCGGTTACAGTAAACAGTTATTTAGACTTATCAAGGAGGCTGGAGGGAAAAGGTCAACAACAATTAGTGAGAATATAGTGGGGAAGGACGGATCTGCAATTCACTCGCAGGGGAGACGACTGGAACGATGGGCAGAACACTTCGAGGAATAGTTTAACTGGCCTCCAGTCACCACTGCATTGTCTGCTATCCAGTCGAACCCTGAATGTAACATTGAGATATGCCCCCCAACACGAGCAGAAGTCGAGAAAGCAGTAGGTAATCTGAAACGAGGAAGGGTAGCAGAACCAGATGGACTAACTCCAGACGTATACAAGGATGGTGGAAGAGTGTTCTTAGGTTAACAGAAGTGTTAAATATTATTTGGAAATCCCCTCTGACTGGTCTAAATCACTGATTATCCCAGTCTTCAAGAAAGGCGAGAAGTCCTCTTGTGATAACCACACAGGAATCAGCCTGACGAACATAATGTTCAAGATCCTAGGTTCTATAATTCTTCGACGCCTGAGTGGGCTCGGGAACAGCAAGCCCGAGAAAACCAAGCAGGCTATAGACCCGACCGTGGGTGTATAGACTAAATATTCACACTGCGTCAGGTCCTGGAACACAGACACGCTTACAGATGCTCGACAATAGCTGTATTTCTCGACCTGAAGACGTCATTCGACTCCGTTGATTGAGAAGTCTTATAGCAATGTCTCTCACTGGAAGTTGTCCCAAGTAAGTACATCACCTTATTAAAGGTTCTCTACTCGAACACCTTTGGGTGTGTTAGAGCCTACAGTGAGATGTTCAAGGAGCTATGCTCGTCGAGTGGTGTCCGCCAAGGGTGCCCACTGTCTCCATTCTTATTCAATTTTATCATAGATATTCTTATGGAGGTCTCCCTCTCATCACCTGGTTACAAAGAGGTTGACCCAATCTCACAGGAGAATTTCCATTAGACCTAGAATATCCAGATGACACTGTCCGACAGTCAATTAAGGGTGGCGTATACTGCACAGCAGTCCGGTCTGTTCTACTGTATGGCTGTGAAAATCGGCCATTAAGGTGGGAGGCTTCAAGTGTTCGACCACCGTTGCCTTCCCAGTGTAGGCCATATTCTGTGGTGTCACCACCAAGTGAGCAATGCAGAAGTCAGGTACAGAGTTTTAAGGAGTAAAGGTAAAGGGGTTATGAACCTTCATCGACTGAGATCGTTGGGACACATGGTAGGCATGCCTAGTCACCGATTGCCCCATCATACAATGTTGGCCGAATTAGGTTCAGGCTGGAAAAAGGCTCGAGACTCTCGGCTACACTAAAACATGGTATCAATGTATGAAGTGTTTGACTGTTGGTTTGAGCCAGGTGGGGCGATGCAGACTGGGTGGTTGGGGTCCGCGGGACAAGAGGAACCAGTGGTTGGAGACTCTAGGTGATATGCCTCAGAACCGATGTCAATGGCGCAGATGTATATACACATTGTCTTCATCTTAATGCTTTACCGAATCTCATCATTTTCTCATTCTTCCTTTCTCTCTTTTCGTACTTTATATTTCTGTTGACTGCATTTTCTTATCTTCATCTTGCACCTCACTGCCTTTTTACTTGATCTGGTGATATAAGCTATGGCAACTCGAACTGTTACGTAGTAATGTCTGGTCCTATGTTGATATTGATGATGGTGAAAGACGCTTTTTATGGGTGAAGATCAGATGACAAGATAACGGAAATTAAGTAGTACCGCATTTTAAGGGCCAGTTGCTGAGATAACCATTACATTTCTCTATTCTATGATAAGCCATCTTCATAATCGAAATTCCAAAATCTGACTGATGGGTACTAGGATGGTCTTCAGAGTCACTTCATTTTAACTCTTCAATTTAAGTTCGATAGGAATATGACATCACAAAAACTGCAAAGGAATGAAGGTATAGGCAGACGCTTCACAAAAAATTAGCATTCCTAACGGTTTCATTTGTAGCGTAAATTGGTAGTAAATTAATTTGCTGCTGTTGCACTCTACCTGACGCATTATACACGTCATGGTTTGCAAATGATTGGAAAATAACACCGAGATCAGGCATGACAGATGAAAGTGATTGATAAAGTACAATATCGAATTCAGTGAACTTAAAGTTGACGGTGGTAAACTCGAACGTGATGCGTGATTTCAGAGTGGAAGACAATCTTTGATGAATTGGAAGATTTAGACATGCTGAAATGGTCGATAGGTAAATGCTGCTGCATCACCTACTTACGATATTTGTTGACATTTGAGTGCGAGTCAGAGTACCGGAAATTTCAAATAACATGGTCAACATCTGAAAGCACTGGAAAGTTATTTCATTCGAATGTGAAGGCTAGAATAGGTTCTTAAAAATATATTTTACTTAAAAAATAAATACTTGTCAAAACATTTCTGTGCTTTATTATATCATACTGATTATATAAATATTCGACCAACCGATTTCGCAAAAAGAATTTCATCTCTCTTCATGAAAAAAATTGGGATACATAATAATCAGGAAATTAAAAAAACAACAAGCATATCAAAGTAGAATCTCGCACAAAAGAGCAGAACTTCACTTGGCACATTTCGTAAAGGTCATAAAAAGTAATTTAGGAGAAGTGGAATGATACAAAGTAAAAGGATATTTGAACAGAAAGAATCGATAAATGCAGGCAAATAAAATGATTATTTGAAAGATAATAAGGATTTAGTAAATCTACACTACTGCAAATGAATCTCAGCTATATTATCAAAAGATGCTAAAAAATTTGATCTTGAGGAAGTCTTGAGCAAGTTGTTTAAGCTCAACACTAGTCAGATCAGGGGTGTCATGGATTGATTCCATATCTCAGTCTAGATATCCTTAAAATTATTACAACATAATTATCCCTGGTCTAACATTACGTGTTACGTAGGTAGTAGCTTGGTATGTCCGACGCAAGTTTTAATGATTTCGGTCAGTGAGATGACATGACTTTACTAAGTGATTTGCTTTTCTTGTCCAGTACTCTATGTCTAACCGAAACAGCTCAGTATTCTCACAACATACAAGTAACGCTGCAAAAACATCAGTTTTTAAGAGCTTCTAATCATATTTCTACCACTTTCAAGACTAAGTTCATTACTAAGTCAACTCACTAGATTACAAAAAGTTCAGTCAATAATAAACTCAAATAATACTCACCAACCATTTACAGGAAAATAAGAAAACCGAGTAACCTTTGGACAGTTGCCAGTCATGATGACAACTATCATGTATTAAATCAAAAGGGTAACAGGCATGCTATATCCCCTATACAATTCTAAAGTGTGTTGCACAAATATACTTTTTTAGCTTATTAGTAGTGTAAGAAACGGTGATAAATTCCTTTTCCTCAAACGAAATAACTTTCATCTTTATTATTAGTGGAAAATGCGGGAAATCACGTAAGGACTGTAACTACCACCAAACTTATTCAATTTTCAATACTCAGAGTACAGTCTAGTGAAAATTCTAATGCAAACGATATTTACAATGTCACGCTATCTTTTGTCACTTTCACTCCAGTGGTGTTTAAAGTGCCGAAAACGAATCAGGGAGGAGCAGATACAAGTTATCGAAAGTCCTTCGAACATAAATAGAGAAACTGCAATACTTAGATGGTATACATAGCACCTCTAAATAAGAAAACTTTTAAAATGACTAGCTCCCTAGAGAAAAAGGAAAATATATTGAAAATGAATTGACTGCTCAGGTTACTGTCCCACTGGTACCATAATATTTGCACACTTTTTTTAGGGTACTTAGTTTATAAACAGCACTCACCTATAGGCTTCACTATTTAAAGCTTTATTCACCAGATCACTTGTCAGAGACACCAAGCGAATACTTTCATTATGAACCTATGAAAATAAAGTATAGTTTTTAGTGCTAAACACGAATCGTTGAAAAAATTCAGATAAACCAAGAACACCTATAAGGGAATGAAAAGTCGTTCGAGGGAACTATACATGAACAAATGGTTTTATTGCAAAGTTAGGCTGATTACAATTTTCCTGACTTCCTATTCACAAAAAAATACCTATCATAGAAACTCTGCTGCATTTGACTGATAGCGGTGAAATTCCTTAGAGTAACAAGTGAAGTTTTACGCATATAAACAACTTTATAATCGTAATTTCGATCGAATTCAAACAGACTTCCTTGTTAGGAAGACATCCCTGTCAAGAGAAAAGTGAATCAGTTGTCATACAGTAGGCAATGCCCCACATCTCTTGTATGAGGGCTAATGATGCCACCTTCCTGCCCAAAGCTCGGTAGGTGGAGCGACGCTCGAACCCGTAACCCAATGGTCATTACAGAACACAATATATTAGTGCTACTTGTTTATAGGAAAGAGGAAATGCGGTGTTTGGCGAGCTATGACTGGATAGTGAGTTTCACGAAGGCAATTTTTTAACACCTTTAAGCTGAATGACTGTGAATTTCGGCACTATATCTTTTCACTACACAACTCTCTAACACAAACCACACCAGCTACTCATGTGAAACATTCGCTTCATCACTTAACACTCGTTTTTGCCAACGCTTCATTCTTTATAATCACCTAACTTTGGAACAACAATGTCTGGCAAAGATTTTCTTTCTCAGTTTATATTGACCCCAGAAAACTTAGCTGTGAATCGATAATTCCCAGTGTTGTACGAACAATCAATGATAATGAACCAATAAATGACAGTACTGTGGTCAGTGAAGCGTATGCAACAACCACCAAACCAACGATTATGCCAGTTAAAGGAGTAGAATAGAGAATGCTACTTTTATTTGTGCATAAAACAGCATCCCGAAAAATCATACGAGAACTCCATGTCAAAAATAGTTACACATTACATAAACAAATTGTAAACTTACTTGAAAGGCTAGGAACATTGTCAACAAACAAAAGGCGAAAATGAAGAAGACCAAAATGAACAAGCTTACTACACTGTCTAACCATGAGTCCAAGTAACGACAAAGCTAGATTCAATAACAAATGAATAACTTTTTTTTAATTGTTGTAAAAACTACACCAACAGGAGCTTGATTAATAAAATATGAACCCAACTATAGAAAAACATTTGAAAATAATAGATGCATGAAAAACACATGTTTTCATGAGTCATATGCCGATTGTTAATACAACAGAAATTGCAACAGAAAAGTTGCCTTATTTTCCGATGGACAAGTCTGAAAAACAACGATATTGACACAAATGTAACAACAGTCTGAAGTACACAATTCTTTTCGTTTTCAGTTCTACATGATGTCTGAGCTATGAGATGAGCCTCTAGAACAGTCTGTCTGGGTTCCCCCTGATACCTGCTTTGAGGCAACTGGTACAAAACAAGAACAGGTGATCATTAGTCCTCCCTAAAAGCCTAAAGATAACTTTGATGTCCAAAGCCAGAAAGTTATTGAGCAACATCTGACATGCCTCTGACTTTTCTAAACAGTTATCATGATTATTACTTTTTTCCAACTAAACTTGTTTACTGGCATTGTAAAAATAAGTACTACGATGGAGCTGATCAACCATTACTACCGCTGCTTACTCCAAATACACGCACCAGACTGTATATATATATATATATATATATATATATATATATATATATATATATATATATATATATATATATATATATATATATATATATATATATATATATATGACATAAAACGTGCCCATTTACTCATAGTCGATGCTTTTATTTCGTAATTATATCCATACACATGTATACAATGGGATGAATAAAGTATAAACTAACTAGTGTTGACAATTTTTCAAATCTTTATAAGCCATACTAAATGAATAAAAAATTATTCATATCGCATAATTAAACCTTCTAACTACATACATAAAGATAATAAAGACCACCAACACCAGAGAAAAATATCTCAAGTCTAGCTTAAGAAGTGAGGCTATGCTACAACAATGTCTGAATGGCTAGCAGGTCATTAGAAAAGTCATCAGAGAACTAGTAATCTCTTATATCAGGGGAAAATTAGCTTGGATACATGTAAAATTGTAAATGGGACGACGATACGTGATTTATAGTACCAATAAACTACAACACTCCATAAACCATACCTTTCTATCGCAGTATGCCAACAGTGTGAATAATCCATGCACAGGTTTCGGGATAATTAATTTCAAGTATGCTTTTCTTTGCTCCATACTTAGATCTGGTGTGAAAGTTTGTAAGAGACCACTCAATTTACAGAAAAGCCAACGTGATAACTCGTGTAGTTTTAGGCATCGTGATAAACGGAAAACTCCAACGCAAATCAAAACAAAACAAACCACGTATAACGGCCATTTATAAAGCCATATGGCAACAAGAAAATGAGCCCAACATAAGGCAAGAAAGCAACGATTGACAAATGAACCACTAGCATGAACAGTTAAGTATGCGTTCGTTGCATCGAAAATGCACTCCGTCTGATGCAGGGAACCAGCTGTTTCATAGAATCTGTAAGATAAGTAAGATAGTCTTGATACAGAGTTGCGAAACTTTATTACAATGAATAATATTCTATATATGCACTGGGTACACAGTTGGCAAACTTTCAGTAGATAAATCATCGAAATGGTTATTTTGATTTACTGTTTACAAAATGCAGTAAAACGATGTACTGACTGTCTACATCTAATACAGCGTAATAAATCTAGGCATGAGGTAGTATATCTCACACTTATTAATGATAAACTCCAACTGATAAACACTATTTAAGAGTGCAAGGAAATTCAGTGTATCAAGGTGTTACAACTATACTTTAATGAACATAAGTAGGTTACAGAAATTGACTGAACGCTCTACAGAGATAGATATCACTAACTCTACAGCATAGTCATATACTTGGTAACTATAAAGTTCGCGTAGCACATTTATTCTAACCATACGTTGGTGTGATATCAGATATGTTTACTAGGCTACAAAGATATTTCGGAAAACGCTAGGTGCAGTTTTATAACTTGATATGTTTTAGTTCGACTTGATTATTTAAGACGACAAAATTAAGTTGATATTGACGGGAAATGAGTCGGCTATGAAAATGAAAAGACAACTTTAAATATAGTTGTAAAAGGAATGATATTTCTGCAGAACTTTTTGAGATGCTATTTAGTCAAATTATACGCTATAGGTAAACATTTACCTTTGACCTTCGAAAATTGTACTGTAGGATTTTCCGGATGTTAGACGAAACTGTTCCGACATAAAAGCTCGTAATTCACTAACTGGATAAAACCTATAATCTGATCCCGTTGGTATTGAACGCAAAGCTTGTCTGTAAGTGGATAAATAAATTTGAATCAGATATCAAAGGAAAACCAATATGTAAATATGACGAATCATTGAGCTTCATTTTATTCAGTGAAAAACCATGTCAATGTTACAAACAACTTGGTCATATTTAAAATTGAACATTGTTAGATGGTAATCAAAGCAAAGCCCTGAATATGGATATTGAAGGTGTACAATACTAACATGATGTTTGAAATGGAAATGTTAGGAAAAAAAATTGAGTCTAGGTTCTGAGATAAGCCTAATTGTAACTTCAAAAAACTAGAGCTATTTTCTATATAAAGATGCTATTCATCATACAAACACTTACTAAAACTCCCGTTTGTCTAAAAAAATTCAGATAGTCTTTTCTTGCTAGGATTATACTAAGTATATTTATAATAATTCGATCAGAGTATTCGGTCACTTTTCTAGAACACTAGCAAAGAATATGGTTTCGACACTTATAGAAGCATGCCGCTTAGCATGACAGTAACATAACCACTTGACCACTTCGGCACGAGCAACCGATAGCTGCTACCTTGACGTTGTGCTCCCGCTTGCACATCATAATGACCCAACGAGCTATGCTGTTGGAACACTTATTCCTTTAAGGTTCTACCATACCAGAAAGGTCTGTTGGATATTGTTTACACGAAAAGTAATTACTTTTTAGTGCACATTTTCAGGTTATGATAGGGGTCCGAGGACAAAGTTCAACTGATGGATGGAAAGGATTTTGACAGTAGTAAGATGTTTCGCTCTGATGACCAGCAGTACTACGCTGATACTGCCTTCCCAATGGGAAGAGAGGGGTTACAAAAGGTAGACCTACCCCATGGTATGTCGATGCCGGAGATCTGAGTTTATAATCGGCTTCAAAACTAAAAAAATAAAATATCAAAGCAGATATCCCTTGGGTTCTGCTGTCACGCACTAACCCTTCTCCTTCATCTACCACAAGAAGAAATACCCTTCCACAGAGTAGATAGCCTGAAATTTTCAGCTACCCTCACAACTGTCAGCACTCAAATTCTCTCGGATCATTGTCGACTTTCCACATACATATCTTCTAATCTTCCTTCAAGTCTCTCAGTCAATAAGCCTACATCATTCTTGGCTTCTTCCAGCTCTTCAGCCCTTGACGATATGAGTTCATGGAACAGCATCCCTGGTCTTCTGAAACCGCGCTCCAAACTACACATAGGAGCTTTAAATGTCCTCACCCTTCAATAAATGGGCCAACAAGCTTCATTAGCCAAAACTCAAGCATCTCCGACCATGGATGTGCGCTATCTGTGAAATATGCATACAGGACAGGAGAGTGGTGTGTATAATGTCTGTCAAGGATTCCCACCTTCATTCTTATCCAATTCAATCATAGAAGTACTTATGGAGGTCTCCTACTTGTTGTCTGATTTCACAGGGATTGATCCTACCACAGGAGAATCCTTGGTATATGCAGAGTACGCAGATGATATATTTTGAAGGCATTTTGTTCTCTGAGTTGGATGGTTTAATCGTGATTTTATAATCATTCTAGATAACATCATCAGAAGAAACTTCAGAAAGAAATGAGCTTGGTATTTAGGTCAGTCAGCGATCAGTAGATAAACTGACACTGACCCAATCTATAAACTAATGGGAAACAAGAAGGATGCACTTCATGGCAGCAGGGCAACCAAGAGAAAAACAATCAGGAGACAATGATAAGACTTCGGTATAAACAACCAGTCACACACAAGGCCATCAGGACAAGCTACTAGGCCACATGTAGAGAAAACCACATAGCTCACTTCTTTCTGAAGTTTGTACTGATATTACCTAGAGTGAAGGTAAAAGCCTCATGATCAAACCATCCAGCTCACGAAATACAAAAGCATCAAAATCATTTTCCTGAGCTACAAATATTCTTCATCATTACAAACGAAATAGTCCTGTTAGGCGAAAATTCTGGCGAGATGCAGAATCTTCTAGACACCTTGAGTGGCAACTTGAGAATGCTTGGGATGCATTTATCACCACCCGAATCCAAAGCGTTGCTTCAGACTGGTCTTCAGCGTTGCCCTAGCTAACAGTAAACAGTGAAGTCATTGAGTGAGTTGACCACTTAACCCACTTGGGAAGTCGGATCAGCCATAGTGGATTAGTGACTGACGAAACCTTCACATGGATACAAATGAGACTTGCTTGGTTATCGCCAATAAACGCCACTTTTAGTATCGCCGTTACATCCGAATCCCCATTAAGGGTCAAGTGAACTGCACTGCACTTCACTCTCTTCTACCGTGCGGCTGCAAAATATGGCCTTTAAAGGTAGAGAACATGAGAATGCTTCAGATATTCGATCATCGTTAACTTCGTAGCATAGACCGTGTTGTGGTGTCATCATGACATTACCGTAGGAGTCAGGCACAGGGCTTTAGAAGGGAGATGGAAGTCAGTTGATGAAGTTGTGAACCTCCATCAGCTCAGGTGACTGAGATGCGTCCCGTATGCCTATTCGCCATCTGATACATCTCACGAGTTAAAAGCAAGTTTGTTCAGGTGATAAATCAAGATTGATCGCTAAAGATACGATAATAACCAATGCCTTCTGCAACTTGATCAGATCATAACCAACTTCAAGAAGGCCCTAATTACCTAAACAGCTAACAATTGTGCGAATTCGTGTCTCGCCACGTATTAACTGTGCGGTGAGGATGTACATCTATTTACTCCTAAATGGTACGTTTTAACGGACCAAGCACCAAAGCCAACCACTTAGTTACACCTTCAAGTCTAATCCATCTACTTAAGTCCCAACATCTGCGTTATTGTCGGAGACAAAGACACAAGAGAATTCATACTTTAATAAAAATTCCCACAGAAATAACATCGTAAAACGATGACACATTACATGGCTTTATTACTGGGACAAGTCTTGAATTTTGTACAGAAGTAATCTAACCAATTCAATCAGCCTTTTGAAAGTGACGTATTTGACGACCTACGAACCAAAGAAACAGATTGTTGCAAGTATTGCGGAAGGATTTGGATGTTTTCAAATGCAACTAAGTGACTTGGATATATACATACTACAACTTTTGGATGATGTCTTTATAAATGTGTGAAAAACTAACCTCAGAAACTGTGACCACCGTTGAGGACGATCAGATTGGTGTCGCCTGTCCGCAACTTCGTCTTGACTACGATGTAACTGGTCGGAACTTTCAAAAAACTGACTGCGCTCCATATTTACTGTGGCTAGGGTATCACAGGAAACAGCATTCCTAACATGATCACTAGATCCTCCGTCTAATGCAGTGACAGTATGACAGGAAGCCCATCGTTCTACAATGTTAAAAGTTAGCAAAAACAGCCAGTTAAGAATAGACCAGTTGCTAAAACTAAGTGTAGAATAAAAATGGTGTGGCGCTCATGCAAAACACATTTTACACTTTCCTACATAGAACACCAGATTTCTGCCTTACGATTACTTAACCACTTGACCTCATACGAGTTTCTTGACAGCAATGTCATTGGGCTTTATGGAAAATGTTTGTTCAAGCTAATGACAAATGACATCTCGGCCGTTTGTTCAGCCCGTATGTGACTCTATTCTTGACATAATGTTCACGAAATACCGTCACTTTTTAATTATCCCAAACCATTCTGATCCACCTACGTCAGACCGTGTGAAAACAAGAGCTAATGCAAAGTGTAAACTAGGATGTCTGCAATATGAAATGTCACCTACAAGTTACCACTTAAGAGGTGGGAGATATGACTCAGTGGTCTAGGCACTCACTTTTCAAACAGGTAGTCACAGTATAATTGTTTTTTTAAATGATACCGCCGTTGCTTGGACCGAATTGATCCATCAGTAAGGTAGTCACCGGTTTGAACCCCTGAGATTTGGACAGTTTGGCAATATCACCACTCCTCAAAAATGTGGTTCACTCTCTAGTGTAAAAAAGCACACATGGTTGTTGAGTGAAATTCGAATCCCCACTCAACTTATTAGTGTTGTGTATCATTAAATGAACACAGAAACCGGACACTTATAAACAGACAATAGCATGGTTTTGCGCTGAAAGAGCTACGAATCCACTCCATATTGGATGCTGCTCTCAGGAGAGAACCGTACATAACTCAGGGCTACATTGAAAGAGCGAAGATATGATCAAGTTACAAACAGTTCAGTAAGCAACCATCAATCTATGTAAAGCACGGCAGTGACTTGAAACACTGTCAAACATAAATCAAAATGAAATCAGTAGGAGTCACGAAAGAGTTCTCCTTTGTCTTCTACATCAGTAGTAAGATGAACACTTCGCTGAAAATGGAAAAGAGATGAAAATATCATTGGTTAAGTACCTACTTGATTGTTTTCCCTGGTAGTGTTACCATGATCGTTACTATTACTTTCCCTTCTTCCATCTGGTGAATAAAATGATTAACCCATTTTACGTACTTAATACGAATTAAAACTAACGCCAGATGTATGGCACAAGGAATTTTGTCAACTGCACAACCGTTAACTTAGTGGATCGCTCAACAAAGATAGTTAATCAAATACAGGAATCTAGAGAAAAGACATTACATGTCAGAATCCAGCAGTTCGGAAATATAAGTAATTCGGTCAAGTTTCATTAGGACCGCATGATTAAGAAACATTTTAACTGCAATCAACAGTGACCTATTGACTTTATGTTTGAAATCCATTTCCCTAGAAAATTACTCGTTACAAACCCCACTATCAGTGAGCCTATCTTGCTCATGATATAAAGAAGGGACGTCTTAAACGAAAATAGATACATACAGTGCAATGAACGCGGTGATATTTGAGTAGGTACATATATAATATCCAACGAGCCTTTCAGAATTGAATGAAAGCACAAATGCAATCTTATAAAGCTATCTAGACAAAATGTTACATCTTCACAATCAAAATTTAAGAAAAAACATCTGAATTATCCGTGGCACAATGAAGTAATATGACACTGAAGAAATAGAATACATGGTTTCTTACAAACGATGACCTTAATTAAGCAGCACTTATAGGTAAGTAAATCGAAACATAGGAGTATGACATTAAAACCCGTTTCAACTTTGCTAAGATCAAGACTGTGAACGACACCAACCTTGATAACTGCTATCAGCTCCATCAGCAAAACACCAGTACCCAACTGTTAGGAATGCAACAGAAGTGAAGAATACCGGCAACCTCAGCACCCCGGCAAATGACGTGCACCACAACAACAATAATATCCAGAAGAAATGTGACACGAAGCAGACAAGATAGTGACTGGATGGTTGTACCAAAGCAAGTATGGCATATGCGATTCCTAAAGTGGTAACCTGCAAGTCAAGAAAACTGAGTGATACTCACCAGCTTGAAAGAAGTTATCCCTAGAATATAATCAGCCAGCGACATGACGCAATAGCAAATATTCGAGAACAAACCAGGGAGCCAAAAGAAATCAAACAAAGAAAAGGTATGAAAGATCAAAAGGAGAAATAGTGAGGATTTAACAAACTCGAATAATCGCAGGCCTTCTGAAATAAAATCGTAGAAACCGCATTAGAGATTCTAAAGGGGACTAAAACAGTTTCTACTAAAAGTAATTGGTCTTCTGCATCAACACGTCTAACCCACCCACGAATTACATCAGTTAAAGAATTCTTGAACGGATACAACACCGTCCCACACAGCACGGCCCATAACAGAGGCCTGACAAAAACTTGCAGTGTATAATACACTGCTAAAACAGCAGCACATATCAAAGAGAGTACTATGAATGCAGCTCCATTATAAAACGCTCGTCGAACAGCCTTTACTTGTGCATGTGAAAGGTGAAGGTATTGTTCAATGCAAAAAGGAACTGCTGAAGATGGTTCCATAAGCTAGCAGAAACGCTTTCTTTGCCGACTCCACAACTACTGTGATGTTTCCTGCGATCCAAGCGTAAGCACCAAATTACGAAATAACCATTCAAACGTCGCCGGGATTTAAGGTCGCTTACAAAGTCCAATGTTGTACACTAGGTAAGATCGACTTTACTGTTGTCATTTGAATGAAATCTTCAAGTTTCAAAAGTTCGAGACTCCAAGTTTTCTATGCTTTATTCTTTTGATAGTATAATTACGTCGTCCTATTTAGAAACAAGAATATTTCGTTTTTCTAGCTGAAGTCAAGCACTCGTAAGTAAATGCGACGCAAACTATCAAACTTCAAACTACGTGTTGCAGAACTAGTAAAGGGCGGTTCCTTGGGTTCTACGTCTGTCTTATTGGAATACATTCTTTAGCTTGAATCAGACAAGGGCTACTAATAGCAAGAACCACTCAAAAGTGTCCAAGCATACACTTAATAGATGTAAAACAGAAGAAGAGAAAGGACTCTGGTGGAAGAGTAGGAAAACAAGAAGCAGTCACTACTTTGTCACTTAGAGTCGTGTTCAAGTCAACAGATGAGAGGAACCAGATTCTTAAGAATGCTCACAAACTTCAAGGATCTGATTGTTCGTGCAAAATGATCTGGCTCTTACTGATCGAATCAAAAACGAGAAGCAGAAGCAAAACTAAAATTCAGATAAGCAGCTGGAGAACAAGATCTGAAAGTAGTGGGTTTTCATTTAGTGAGGCTTCGGCAACAAGTGATGCCGAAGCCTCTATGGATAGGGCGGAAACCCATTTAAGTAGTTTTGTTGGCTTGCACACAAATGCACGTAGTCTGCTAAACAAGTGGACTGAGCTTGGTAATGTGATAGGCAACGAAAGCCTTGATGTCATTGCTATCTCAGAAACTTGGTTCTCTTCTTAGGTCAGTGACTGTGAAACACACAAGGATTCGCCCCTTTTAGTAGTGACAGGTTAGCACGCAAATGTGGTGGTGTCATCCTTTACGTTAAGAATACTTCACCGTAAAATCCATGGAAACAGTTGCACAAGAAAGTGGGACATGTGGAATGTTGCGCTGCCGACTAAAAAGCAAAGGATAGGACGTTAACCTAATCGTAATACATCGAAGCACCGAATGTGAGGCAGCATACTTCCTCCTTAACAAGCTGACCCTCTGGACAGATAAAAGCCGATATCTAGTTCTAGGAAACTTCAATGTACTATTAGTTGACCGGGTTAGGCCAACAACAAAAGCACCATGTAATTCGCTTGACCACAGGTTAGTGGAGACATCAATTTCCTGGGCCCTGACACAGCATATTAGGACACCAACCGGATATGATCATCAGCATGCTCCATCAATTCTAGACTTGGTATTCTCACACAAAGATGATGTGTGCTTCACCTGGCACCTGGCACTCCTTGGTAAAAATGATCACGCTATGATCGTCCTCAAATTCACAGTACATGTTTCGTACCAGGCCGGTGCTCCAGCTATATGGAAGCCACTAACTTGGCAGCCTCTCGAAGGACTGGACAGTCAATCCAGCAGCCTCAGCTGAAGATGCGTGGTGCTCCCTCAAACAGTTGTATGCACGAGTGACCCAACCGTTCATTCTGTGGACTGCCCCAAGGGGACAGAAACACCGTCCTCCGCGGATAAACCACAAAATCCGAACCTTGCTACAATGTAAGAAAAAGTGTTGGAGTCTTGCCACTCATCTCGGTACACCCGAAGTGGTGAAGCATTGCAGAGAAGCCCGCAATAAATGTATCGCTGCCATCCTCCGGTCTCTAACATGATTTGAAACACGTCTTGCCCGGGCTGCACTGCAACATGCGAAGAGGTTATTTTCCCATGTGAGCTATAGAAATAAGAGGTGTCGTGGTACACCCACCCTAATCATAAAGAAGGAAAACGACTATTTGATTGAGGACGGCAGGGGTAGAGCAGAAGCCATGGCTGGGTATTTTGCTGAGGTCTTCATACAGGAATCTTCCGTGGACACTTACCCAACGGTAGAAGCATTGATATCTAACAGAATAAGCTCTGTGGATGTCGATCGTAATGATGTATTTCGGATATTAAGTACCCTCGATGTAGGAAACTCCATGGGACTAGATGAGCTGCACTCAAGGCTGCTCACAGAACTTGCACTCTATGTGGCCGGCCCATTGACTACTATATACAGACTGTCTCTCATTGAAGGCACACTCCTTTATGGCTGAAAGGACGCCATAGTAACATCTATCCACAAGGCAGGTTGTAGGCAGCTCCAATCAAATTACTGACTGATAAGTTTGACTGGTACTGTATTGAAAACCCTAGAAAGAATAATCAAGAAAGCCACTACAGTCCACCAAGAGAGCAACACTCTATTGCCTCGTTCACATTTCGATTTTCATGGAAACTTCTCTTGCTTGATGAACCTTCTTACGGCCACAGAAAGTTGGGTTGAGTTCGAAGATGATAGGATACCTGTAGATGTCATTCTCATTAACTTTAGTAAGGCGTTCGACAAAGTACCTCATTCCACGTTACTCGGGAAACCGGAAAGCCTTGGAATCACTGGCAGTCCGCTCGCATGGATAAGAGACTTTCTTATTGGTAGGAAACACCTAAGAGGACATAATAGGAGACAGAGCGCTGGTTCCTGCATCGAGTAATCAACGCCTGCAACCGACTAGCAGAGGTGGTGTCCGCATCATCAGTTGGCTCGTTCAAAAGGGGGATTGGAAAAGCACAGAAATCTACTGGAAAAGGATGAATATAGGCTCCCGGCCTCCTATCCTCAAACAACAAATCTGAATCTGACAGTGTAAGCGGCCTGACAAATTATAAGGCCTTTTATCACCAATGAACTTGGAATGACGCCAAGGAACAGCACAGTCACCCATGAGAAAGGAGAGTGATAATTAACTCTGAATATATGAAGTCAAAAGTTAAGAGCCTAACGGTGAAGCTTCTATGGCGGCTAACCTACCAGCTCAGGAATTCTGGAGCAACTTCCGCCGACTGGGGGGATAACCACACACCAACCGGGCACTAGAGAAGTGGGCGTATCAAGCTGAGCAGAATTCGAGACTTTTAAAATAAGGATAGTCAGATAGAGCCTGAATCCCAGTAGATCTTCAGGATGTAACACAGTTCACCACTGATTACCAAACAGTGTGCTGGTGTCCCACCAGTAAGCCTCCCCGGACGTTCCTTTCCAGAAGGCAGCTTGCACTCGAATGGTAAGTGAGCGGCAATTATCCTACTCAATGAAAGTAGAAAGGAACTTCCTGTCTCCATCTATGGCCCAATCTGCTTGGACCACTTAGACGTAATGGTTGTGGAAAGAGCAGTAAATGTCACATTCCATGGTTATTTGCCTGAAAGCTAAAGGCTTACTGGCTGCCTAAAAAGACTTTTACTTTTGAGGTCATACAAAGCCAGACTGCTGAAAGCATGAAACGGGTAAGCTTTCCCTGGTGAAAAGAATAGCCCACTTACACCAGGTGAGCTGGCTCCCTTAAAGCTTTCAGCCAGATAAACCATGATGCACCTTATGAGAAACGTGTGTAGGCGCTCGGCCGATCACTTAATCTTCGGATGACATTAACAATCAGCTATAGTCTTTTAAAGTTGGCTCCGTCGTGTCACACTGGTTCCCAGTGTCCGGTGGGTGGATCGTTCTCCATCCATTTTTTCATTGATTTAAAAGGACCTCAACAGCAATATCGAGTTCTAAGCCACCAAAACATGCTGATGAGCTGAGGATGTTGGGGAGGGGTACACATTAGAAAAGGTGCCTCTGCCACACAAAAAGACAAAGTCAAAGTCATGAATCGGGAAGGGAAAGTTTTCTCCCCCTTACCGCTAGAGGGTGTGAGGAAAGGATGGCAGACAGATATAAGTGTAATCTCAGCTTCTGCTTCATGGGAGAAACAAATACCTCTCACTCACTTATCCGGCAAAGTTTAAGGGTTACGCTTGGTGAAATACTTGTATCTTCTGCTCATCATCATTGATGCAGTGAGCGGTACCTATGAAGACCTGGGATTTCCTCCTAGAACATCAAGCGGACTAACTCACGCCCTATTCACTACAGCATACAGACTACACAGTCGTCTTCACCCGAGGAAATACTGGCAGATTATGCCCGTGTGCTTGAAGAGAGACGCTGCATTCACTATTGAACGAAGCCGGTTTGTGTGTTTACATCAGCTTTGACCTGATCATAGTCACACTTAACTAGCTGTCCGCCCATTTGGTGCTTACGTTTAGTCTCACAACGCAAATACAAATACTAATCTCCGCCAAACATATCAGCAAATAGTACCAGGAGCTGCATCTGTATATAACGTGTACTGCCCGAATAAAATTGAAGAGACGTTAGCGAAGTAATATATACGCAAGTTGTTTATTTATTGTGCTTAACCGATGATTCCAAAAATCTATAATCTACTTATATTGACCATCATATCGCACCGAAGGTTCATAATCTCGCTGAATATTATGACTAAGAACCAAATGTCCTCATTCTTTAA